GCAGAATTGCTTACTGGCGGTTTGCAGGGAAGAAGGGAATATAATCCCTATATAGTCCCTATATAGTTTATTCCCTCATTCCCTACAAACCTCCAGTAAGTTCAACTGTGGCATCTCTGGGCTCAACTTTGAAGTTACGCTGTCTCCAAATTCCCTGAGGTCACTTCGCAATCCAGCACCTTGGAGGACATGTTCATCCAAAGCCCTGACAAGAGGCCAGCAGAAGTAGGCTTCCAGCTTGGCAATGCTTCTTCCCAGAAAAGCACATGGCTGTGAATCTAAAACACTGGGTGTGTAACAGACTTGGGGGGCCGTTCCGCGACATAGGCTCGTAACAGAATTTCCTGGCTTGCGGGAAGCACTTGTGCCACAAGCTTTTTTTTTGTGGGGCATGCCCCGTACCAAGCACTTGCAAAGAAGGGATGTAGCAACAGCCCGGGTGACGGTGAGGGGCCTGCGACAAAACGGGTCTTTGATCCACAGCCACATGGATTTTGGAAAAGCCGCCATGTATGGTGGCCTGGCGTTGACTGCAGCTAAGAGAGTCCATGTCTCCAACTTTGAGGGCCCTGAAGCGAGTCCTCGCACCAGGTAGCAACAATGTGCCTTTGCTTCATAGAAACAAGAACAGTCGGCAACCATTCAGACTGGACAGGCACCGACGGGAGGCTCCCATGAGGCTGGGGAGTTCAGAAGTTCAGTGGTGCGGAAAGTTCGGATGGACCGGACAGGATGGATGAAGAGAGGTTTTGAACAGAAGCATCTTGCACAGCTCTGATGTCTCAGGCCCTGTGCTGATGGGATGGCTGGACGGGCCAGCAATTGCTGGACTCAGGACCCATGCCTGCCTTTGTAGTGGGCAAATTGTGCAGGCTGGGCTAGGTTCAGGCATGCTAACAGCTCGCTGCTCCAGCTACAGCGTGCTGCAAGCAAAGCAGCCTAGTATTTTGCTCCATTGAACAGGAAAATCAACCATTGCAAGGCAAGGATCTTGACCGGTGCCAGACCACGCAGAAACAAGAATTGCAGCATGCGTCGGATGCGGCCCTGTGGCTGTCATGGTATTTCGAGATGACCCTAGATTCAGGGCATAGCCTGGAGAGGATTACTCGAAAGAATCATGTACAACCAGCAGCAGCAACGTTGCTCTGAAAGTCAGGAGCGCCGCCCTTCCAGATGGGCAGGGCCTCCGGCGTGGGGCCCTTGGACAGAAGCCATCAGACTGCATAGGGCCTTGGTTAGCAACGATATGCCTGTAAGGTCAAGGCAAGGCATCAGCTTTAGGAGCTGCGTTCATTGCGAAGCCAACGCTAATGCCGCTACTGAAAGATTACGTAGGTTCAAGGTTCAAGGATAGAGGGAGCCGAGGCAATCCGTGTATGGAGTGATGGCAGGTGACCAGTTTTTCGGGGCAGTTGAGGTGTAAATCGAACCAGGCCACCTTCCCTGAACAGGTGTGGAAGATCCTTACACATCCCAGAATGCCAGAATCCGTATTACATGGAATAAAGCAGGCACATAAGTATGCAAGAACATCCTTAGATGGTAACGGAACATCGAAACATCTTCGCGCCAACAATGTTTCGAGGCCAGCGCGAGCGGAGAACCTTTCGCTGCATCGGGGGAGCCAGGCTTTGCCCAGCGGTGGGCAGCCCAGGAGCTTTGGAAGGGATCATCCAGGTTTCTCGGAGGTATGAGCTTCATCTTGAGACTTGAGAGGTACCGAAAATCAGAGAGTTTACAAGACAAGGGACCCGCATTTTGAACGATGCGTTTACGGGTTTGGATTCGCGGTATCTAAGTCCATGGGCATTTTCAGCTCGGCTATAGTGGCTTTGGCAAGACCCAACGGTCTAGGCTCCAGGCTTTGAGTCGTGCCATGAGTGCAGCATTTCTAGCTGCTGAGGTCGGATGAGCCTTCGCCAGGCTGGAGAGTTGCCCCCGTCAACTTACGTATTGCACAGCACAATTCTCTGAGCCGCCATGTGCGCGAAGCACTCAAATAGCACATTCGTGACAGGAGTTGCCTCGCTGTGAAACCAAAGTAAGTTGTCAGGGATGTCCACGTTTAATATTTGAAGGGTTTGTATCTCATGCGCCAAGCCTCTGTGAAGCTGGGCAGGAACGAACGACCTCAGCGGCATTCCTGACATGTTGCTCGAAGACGAAGCTGTCATTCGCCTGTGGTTAATTGTGATTCTTCGCTAGCCTGTGATGAGACGGACAGGCAAAATGCTAGCGAAGGTGGCTTACAAACTCCTCCCAGAAGAACCTCCCATCTAGATCGTTTACAGCGGGCCAGGACTACGGGCGTGCATATACGCTGCGGGAGAATCTGCCACCGAGTGCAGGAGTGCTGCTCTAAGAAAGCGACGACATCTCAGTATTGTGGACTGAAGTACCTTCGGTTCCAGAACATGCCCAGATCGAAGGTGCCGAGCCCTCATGCGCTGCGCCGTGGGCCCACCCCGGAGCGCAAAAGCGAGGCCCAAGCAAGGGCTGGGAATTGAATGTGCGAATCCTCACCTGGTTGAAGTTGGTTTGTGGTCTTGCAGTCCCATGCACCTTGTCTCCGGCAGGTCCGCACAAAATGCCTCTACACCACGTCGCACAAGGCCAACAAGATCCACTTGAGATGCAGAGAATGCCTACAGATAAGGAAGCCAGCTTCAAAGTCCTTGTACAGGACTACGGCAACATGTACCAGAAGGTGCCCTGAACGCGAAGGAGGTATGCTGAACAATAGCTGCCTAAGAACTTTGCAATTGTTTCATTGGCCTGCAAGGCTCTGATGGGCTAATATTTCCGCAGTCGTTGAGTCGATTCAACAGCTGAGCTAAACATGCCATCAGAAGTAGATGGACGGGACGGGAGTAAGATATTGAAGATATTGGCTCGTTTGCGCACGTTCCCTCATTGGGCAGTCTTGTGTTTCCTGTCACAACTCAACATGTGGGAACGCAAATTTCAGGTTGCCGCAGTCTCCCATAGAACGGCCACACCCAGTGATCACGGTGACAGCAAAGCTCGCAAGACTGCCTCCAAGGGAAGCGCTGTCAATGCCTTTGTGCTCTGACAGCTGGGTACCCGCGTAGTTCCCAGCCACCAATGCTGTCAAACAGCCGGCTGAGCTTCTGGTCTGCAGCAGGCCTTAAAAAGGCGGAAGTGGATCCAACCCATGACAGCAGTCCTGTAATGTTTCTTGAGCAGATTCTGTTCTGAACAAGCTCTGTCTCCTACAGATCTGCTTTGCCTGTATGTACATTAGAACGCTGTGCTGGCTCTTGCACTATGTGCTCGGCTGATGTACGCATCGGATTCATGCAAACGATTCAGACGAAGCGCAGTGCTGCGCCAAAAAGCCACGAGGCCAGGCCTCAAAGGAGCCTGCATCATCGCGTCATGGCTATCTGCCAACTGAATGACCGTTAGCTTGCAATCTCAGGCAGGCCGAGTAGGTCAGCTAGGCGCTTGCAAGTCCGTACGTTGGTGCTCTATTAGCAGGAAGGCTGTGAGAGGAGTGTGGGCGCATCAGGCGTTCGCAGCCACAGAGTCTCGAAAGCACCTTGGGCAGGTCGGCCCCATGGTTACAGAGCTGGTCGAAAAGGCTCTCGCCCCCACGCAGGGTCCAGGGCTTCTAGGCAAAAGCGTGGCAATCCATAGAGCCGCGGCAGAAGAGTAAGTAGAGCATGACGAAAGCCTACCGTCACAGGCCTAGGTACAGGTTGCACAGTGGCAGCACAGTGTCGCTTCGGATGTGGGCTCTTGAGCAGTAACCTGAACCTAAGCTTGCATCTGCCTGCCGGAGCTGTTTGCAGGAATGGCAAAGGTCCATGGTGCATCACTAACAAGAAGCCTCCCGGCTGGCATGCTGCCCGACACAGGTTACATCGTCAAGGCCACCACCTGCCAGATTCCTCACTACAGCAGGCAAGACTTCACAATCACGGCCATTCCACATCCCCTGGGACCTTTACAGCCATGGGCCGTTTCTCCTCCTGGGCTCAGAGCAAAGCTGCTGAGAGCCCCAAAGAAGAGGTAAAGGCGCAAAGAAGGGTCACTGTGATGTTTTGCTGTCTTGTGGTATTCCGGCACGGCTGAAATCATCCTTTGGCAAAACCTTAGGCAGTCCATTTTGGAGACGTGCTTTTCAAGAGGCAATCGGTACTGTCAATGTGCTCCCTGTTTGTTTGCTCGCCTTCCGCGCCCAAAAGTGTTCCCCTTTGTCACTATGGGGAGCAGGACCATTTGCCTGCCGTTTTCTTGCAGTGCGTGCGGCACTGGCAGGCCGCGCCAGAGAAGCAGCTCTTCCTGGTAGACAACTTGCAGCTTCGCTCCAAGAGCAACGGGATAAGGCCATTGTCAGAATGAGTCTAGCTGAAGACGAGCTTCTGGGAAAAGGCATGAGCCCCTGGAAAGTAACTTACAAGACCGAGCAACATCTCTAGGTGTCAGCCATTGGCCAGAGTACGCAGAAGCGGCTCGTTTCTTCGCAGCACAATATAAACATCAATGGTTTCGCCGCACTACATTTGGCAGATACCGCTGCTCCCCCGACCTCGCGGACAAGCACAGCCGCGTAGCTCTCTTTGGATCTCGCATCAAGGCACCGGCAGGGCTTCAAGAAGAGGTCGCTTTCCTCTTTTGCTTGGGCTTGGATATGTGGAACCTTGAGAGGCGTCAACTGGGGGCATGTCCTACCCACAGAGAGTGCTGCATTTCTGCATCTGGCGCTGTGCAGGGGATTCCTTTCGGAGGCTGCTGGATACAGGCGCCTCCGCCAGCCCGAAGCATTCGCGGTTTCGAAGTAAGACTTTGCTTGCAAAGGACTAGCTGTTTGTTAATTAGGCCTGCACCATCTTTTCAGAATTTTCTTGAGGTGGGAAGCCGATTTCTGCCGACACATATCGGAGGGGCTGAGGTCTTGCGACCCCTGGAGGTGCGAGCGCTATATTAGCTGTAAAGCACGGATGATCGAGCCCTTTAAAGTCTGTTGCAAGGCATCCAGCACTGAAGGGATTGTAGTGGATGAGCCGGACGATGACACCAAGGATTCTACAAGATTTTGCAGTACTGGGACGTAGCTTCTGCAGGTTCACTTGTCAAGCCTGTCTATGCCTCAAGAAATCTTGAAAGCTGTCTGCAAGATCTGGACGCAATGAAGTGAAGAAGCAGGACAAGCTGCTGGGCCAGATTCTCTTTGGCGCCTCAGATGAGGATACAGGCTACATTGCCTCTTGGCAGTGATAGCCGATCCTTCATCCAAGTCTGCCGGAATGTTGTTCAGTGGTGGCCTTTCGGTTTGCTGCTTGCAAGGATCAACGGCAGCCGGAGAAAGTGGCAGCCCGAGCGTTGACGCTTGGCAAGCTTGTCCTGGGCGGCATTGCTGTTTGTGGCTTGGTGTGGCCGGAAGCGCCTGCTGATGGCTTTGACCATTCAGGTGAGGGAGCGCGATGATGTTTAAGCTTCTATATGACATTGCTTGGAGCTAACAACGCGATACCCCAAGCTCTGTGAACCGTGGAGTTATGTGGACTGTTGTTGTTGCTGCTCTTAGTCCTGCTTCTGCGAGCCCACATACTAGATCCTCATGCCTAAGCAAAACAATTACCAACACAACTACTACAAAAAAAGTTGCCTATTGTGCTGTGGCAGTCCCATGAGCAGCCGCTGTCATTATGCGTTGGTCTCGTATCAGTACTCGTGCTGTTGTTGCTGCAAGATGCGAGGATTCGTCCTGAGACCTCCCAGACGGACGCGCCGCTCTTGCCAGTCGGGGATGGCGCCGTCTACGAAGTTCTGCAACTTTGCTACCTCTCATTCGGTTGACAATGTCAGAGTTGACTGTAAGCCTGCTATACGCAGAGAGCAGGACAGAGGTGACGGCGTGCAGCACCTGCAAGGTATGACCGGGTCGCCATCCGGTCTGCGGCCAGCACGACAGCAACAACCCTGGAGATCAAGCAGAGCCTTTGGCTTTACGGGTCCAACTGTCCCACAGCAGGCATTTCACACGAGTCGCTACACCTGCAAGCCCATCATGGAAGATCATGAAAGTATGTAGCGCATGAAAGCCATGTAGCTGTAGCAGCCAATAGATTCAAAGGCAGCCGGCGAAAGGGATTGCTGATTACTGCACAGGAAGGGCGAATCGCTGGAACTCTTTGAGTGGGACGCCTCGCGCAAATGGCGGCGATGTGCAGCAGATGTGTTCCGTACTCAGAACACAGGGATGAACCTGAGGAGCTCGGATAGGATAATGCATCAAACGTAGCAGCTTGGAGTCAAGATCTCATTCGCAGCGTCCTGCTATCCTTATATTATACCCCGATTTATCCTAATACACTATAGTAGTTTCCATGTTATTTTCCATTGTCCCAATGATATAACCCCAACATATATAGATATGTACATATATATATATATACATATGCATGACTGCTCACAGGCTTCAATCAATCAATCAATATGCATATATATATATATCCTAAAGGACTTCAGCTTTTGGAGCACAAAAGTAGCTCAGGCTTGCCACCACAGCAGGATGGGTGTTGCTGGACCACCCGGAATTTGGGCCCCTGGTGCGGCCCAAGGCCGAGAGAGGGGGGAAAGGGCCAGTATCATTGCTACTTGTATTAGTCTTGTTACTACTATCATGCAGTTCCCGGACGGAAGCACGACCACCAAATCCCTCGAGTCTACACACCCGTAAATGTGTCAGAAAGATTGTAACTGTCAGCCTTATTATTGCACTTGCAATGTGGGGCGGCATGCCAAGGCATGTGGGAAGCTCAAATTCTCCTTTGCCCTCAACCCTGCCTGAACACTAGCTCGAATCACGAAAGCTCCTCGTGAGAGGGAGCTTCGTTAATATACTTGAACGTAGTGAGTTGGGTAGTGGGGGTTGGAGGGGGGTCCGGCGGGACTTTGGTGTTCTGGTAGGCTAGACTGCGCCGCTGGATGGGATTCACGGGTCGCACAGCAGGTGGTCCTTCTGTGGAGGTTTTTCTGGCACCGTTTTTTGGGGGCTGGCAGGGAGAAATGCGGGGCCGGTGATGCAGCAAATGTAGAGGCTTAAAGGTGATTTCTCCAAGTTTGGAATCTGCTGTGGCTGCAAGCAAACCCTGCAGATTGCATTGAATACGCAGTCCCTGTTGCATCCCGTTGCTCTTCCAGCAGGGCTACGGCACGTGCACGAGCTTTTCACATTTCACGCAGGTGCATTTTCTACACAAAAGGTACTTTGCCTGGTTTCTTAGAGTCGGGCAAGGCGTAGTTTCCCTGACTTTTCTGCAGTTGGACCGCTGCTCGTTCTAGTACGCGTGCGATAATATATGTCTTAGCGAGACATGCTGAAATTCGGTTTTGTGTGGTGCAAGTCGATACAATGTACAATGTGCAAGTTAGCGTGGCGCAGAGCGGTCGTTTCTGCTGCTGACCCTCAAGTTCCTGTAGCAACACGGTAGTTTCCCTAAATACGGGGACCCCAATATAGACTCTCAAATGCTATAGTCCTCATCAGTGAAACCCCTTGAAAACCCCCCCAAATGTTTTCAGCTCAGGGCGCCCCCCTCTGCGCCCGGCCCCTGGAGCCATTGTGCACGGCGGCGGCAGAGGCGCAGCTTTTGGAGCTCAGGCGCTTCCTCGGCGAAGGCTCCAGGGGGCGAAGCTGCGCATAGACTTTCATGGGGTTGCGTAGGGCTTCATACGGGCTATTGTCTAAACGGTCATTAAGGGGGATACTGCGAGTTTAGAACATAGCTCATACGGGCTTTCCAAAGTTTCCTGGACTTTTGCAGAGATTCTTTTCGTTAGGCATTTTATGATGTTATAAGAATCTTGCTGATAAATGTGGGAAAGGTCTCGTGTATACATACACCTGTATACTCCGTGCATGTGTTTAACGGGTGGTGGCCTTGACAAGGCTTTGCGAGAAACCTAAACTCAAGTTTTTACAGTCGACAGAACTCTATAGCAGCACGGTATCCTTCTAAGCCTACGTGGACACTCTCTGTTGTAGCGACCATTCAGAACTTCGTCAGCAAAATACTTGTGGGTCAGTTGCTGTGAGAAGACGCACCACCACTGGCGAGCTTGCAGGCTGCGGGCTTGTCTAACAGCAGTGCTTGCTAGCCAATTTTATGATCATGCTAGTTCTTCTAACGTATGACTGACTGACTAGTTCTTCCAGAGCTGGGATCAACTGCAGGACACAACCCTCAAGTCTGCGACGCTGGTGGCACGTCTGCTTTGGCCTTGGCGGCGCGGATGTCCCAGCTTCAAGATGGGCTTAGCCTGAGCGCAATCATGGCGAGTGGTGACAGCTTAATTAATGGGATCTCAAGCGTCACCAAGGATGGCGGACGCCAGGGATTGCGCGGTTCACCTCATTGAGGCACCGGAACGGATGCCTTGGCGACAGCTTGTTTTGCAAGAACGGGCCAGATATGTAAAACAGACACAACAAACAACGAGAGAATGCTCTGGGATTTGGCAGCACAACACCACAAAACTTTTGAGCATGTGCACGCAATGGAAAAGCTGTTATGGTGTTGGACTCAACGAGCTAAAGTGCATTAAATTTTGGCTTGGAGGTTTGCACAAGACGTGAATTTCATGAGCCATCCTGCGCTGGTTGAATTGGAGCTCTAGACTTGCTGGACATTGCAAGGCCGGCGCTGTGACCACCTCGGCAGCTGCTGATGATGCGATTAGGTGCGCAAATTCCATCAGCACCATTACTATTGTGTGAGGATTGCGGAATATAGGTGCATCATGCAGATTGGCAGCGCAAGAAGAGCTATTCTTGCTGTTGCTTTGCCGGACTGTCACCCAGCGCATCGATCCAAGTCTGATTGGTGAGAAGGCAGTTTTCATGATTCCAACGCTCAGCCAGGCATGCCAGCAGTGCGGGCATGCGAGCGTTGATACAGGCATGAGCCAAGGGTAGGCCTTAGCAAGGCTTCCAGTGAATCTCAGGCACGACTCTTTTGTCAAAGGCGTCACGTTGAACTCTTCTTTGGCCTATTGCTGTCAACTTCCTGAATGCATTCCTGATGATTTGTTTGCGCAGTCTCTCCTCGGCCACATGATCGAGGACGATGTTGCATTGCAGGCAAGGGCTGTTGCAAGTCAGAGTGGATCTCCGGTGCCATTCCAAACTCGCGAAGTATCCTAAGGATGCTCTGGGAGACCTCACCCTGGATGCCCGGCTCGCAGCTGACAGGCCAAGTCTGATGCAGGGAGAGTAGATGAAGTTGATGCAGCGATATGTATGTGCCTTCTTGCTGGATGGCTCGGAGAGTCCGTAAGGCCATCGTGAATGGAGCAACATGAAAAAAAAATTGGCGGCGGTTTTGAGCCGGCATCCAGCTTGACTAATTGCCAGCAAATAGTGAATGACACCAACCGGCAGTCACGATCTGTTCCGGCACCTTGTTAGCCAAAGGCCCGCATGGTGGCCTCTGACATCCTCTTCCCAACCCAAACTGCAACAGGATCTTGGAGCAGCTCGCCGAGGCTTCTCGCGTTGAGGTGCTGCTTCTGCCTTCTTCTGTTGTGGCGCAATATTGCTACATGTCTGGGTAGAAGCGCATTTGCAATCTCGTATCCTTGCCCGGCTGGAAGGCACCACCGGCCCCACAGCAGACAGCCTCCCCCGAGTCAAGGACCGAGGGCATCTCTCTGGATGCATACTGAGCCATGCTACTAAGCACTCGATGGGCAGATTATGATTGTCATGGTAAAGCATGGTAAAGCCTGCGTGTAGAGGGCGAGACTGACGTTGCTTCTTGATCCCGGCAGCTTGATAGTGCGATTGCCGTCAGATGTTGTCAGGAATTAAAAGTCTGCCCATTTCTGCCGCTAGGTAGCAAGGATGAAAAGTTGTGCCATGCAGGACCCAGCCGCAGAAGGCGCCGGACATGGATGCTGAGCCACAAGGCGCGAAGATCGTGCTCTCATTCAAAAGCAATTAACTACGTCTGCCTGAGAAGAGCCGTCAGACCTGTACAAGATGGCTGGAAGCTTGAGGCCCGGTCAAAATTCGGCGAAAGGGAGGCAAGCTTTACGAGGCTGGCAGTGCCTGCGTTCTATCAGAGCATGCCGTAACGACGGGTAGGCCATCAAATCATCACATGAACCTTGCTGCAGGTCACCCACAAAGCTGTTGCGATTCGGTATTTGCCGTCTACGACAGCAGACATGGCAAGATACTGAGAGACCATTCTGGAGGGCTGAAACACATTGGGCGCAGATTCAAGTTGTCGAGAGCCCTCGCAAGCCATGTCACGATCAGGTCGGAACGAGGATCTTGGGCCAACTTGTTGAACTCTTCGAGGATAGTGCAGGGAGCCTCAGGTTCAGTCATGGCTCAGTAGCGGTGATAAACTGCTTTGAGCGTCAGCCTCAAGAAGCCCAGGCCGATGGGAAATGGCGGAAGATGGAAGATGCCGAAAGCGGCGAGGAGGCTGCCTAGCAAACTGATTTGAGAGTGAGAAACGACTTGCTGGCGAGGGCTGGATGCTTCTGCAGCATCCACAGTCCAGCTCCCGGTCCGTTGCAGAGCACACCCAGCTCATGATGGTAGGGTTGCCTCTCTCTCTCTCTCTCTCTCCGTGCCCGTGCTCTGTCCGGATGAGCCATTTGGCTTGGAGCGCGGGCAGGGTTGGCTATGCTAAATACAGCATGGTAGGCGACATAGGCGATGCCTACGCCTACTGTGGCGTGATGAGTCTGCTTGCACATGTCCAGAGGCCTGCAAGTGTTCCGCGCACTCATGTCTTGCAGTGTGCTTCATTGGTGCCTATGCCGCATGCCTATGCCTGCAGCATCCTGCGGCATGGATGGAGTGGCAGGCATGCGAAAGCTTGCTTGGGCAGCAGTGGCAGCAACGGCTGCCGAAGAGTCTGAATGTGCAAATGGTGATATTGTGAGAAGTGACGCGCTCGGCTCCTTGTCTGGTCCAGGGGCAGCTTTGGGCAGTTCTGCATGAGCAAGCCTGCCGCCTGTAAAGATTAGCGGGCATGTGAGGTCTAACAGTCGATGCACGCCGCATGCGCTTGCCAAGCGCACCGCCGCTTCATGAAGCCTTCGAGTCTATGGCCGCTTTAGAAAGAGGCCATTGCGGGTCATGACGAAGCCAGCATAGTCTAGTCTGCCCTGGGATATCCAAAAAGCATCCTGTAGCAATCCCACTTCGCAGATGCAGTTGTACTCGAAAATGACGGCAGGAGAGAAAGCAAATCCAGACGAAGGCCGGCAAGCGCGTTCCTGAGCACGGCCACAATTTCACGTGGTGAATCGAGGGGAACCACCTCTTCAGTAAATGATGTCAAAACTCTTACCACGAGTACAGTCAATTTCAACACTCGGAGGTCGGGCACTATTGGCTCCGGACCCCAGAGCTGGCTCCGGAGGCTTGCGCGGACAACAGCAGTCACAGCGTCATCCCCACCTTTGAAGCAGGAAGTCCGTGCAGCCATCTATGCCAGCTGGGCATCTTGTTGCACGACTTGTAGTAGCCCGAAGTTTCAAGGAAATCCACCAATGAGCCAAGGCTCAGATTGAACGTCTCGCACACGAGGCCTCTGAGAGCAGCTCGGCCCGTTGAACGGCCATAGTCACTGGAAGCATCTCTACCTGCTTGGATGCTCCTTTGAGACGGGTGGCTATGAGAACACTTCAAGCCACCATGAATTTTTCTGCGGACACAACTTCACGGCACTGCAGGGAACATCTCTTCTCTTCTGCTGCTGGGCATTGGTGGCTCCGCTCTTGGCCCGCAGCTCCTTTCGGAGGCCGGGCCTGGTTTAAATTCCCTTGGCTGCTTGCAATATCTTGCGACTCAGCAAGCTTCCATGTAGCAGGCCTTGGGTCCAGGATCACGGCGGATTGCCTTCCTCGACAACACGGAGCAGACCTGCAAAGCAGCCTTCATACTGGTTGGTGCGCATGAAAACCTACAAGTTTGAGAGGATCCGGATGGATTCTACGCAGTGCTAAGCACAATCGATGCAGCCTCCACCTGGGCCACAGGGCTTCAGAAGAAGTCTTGTGTTTGAATTTGCTTCACGACGCCAGGTAAGTGTAGTACCTGAGTAAAAAAACATGATAGCGAATAGAGCACATTCTCAGCCTTCCGGTTAAGGTTCTGGTGGTGTCCAAGTCGGGTGGGACGGTCGAGACGCGCAACGCATTGGTGGAGACAAAGGCGCGATGGAACGGGACTGGCTTGACACATGCTTTTCAATGTTTTTAAAGTTAGTGATTTGGGTAGCTGAAAGATCCCAATGGTGGCAAGGCTTTTTTCGCCTCCCGAGGGGTGGACTGTGCTCGCCACCTTTTGGCAGTGACATGCGCCGGGTCACGCCTGGACTGCCAGTAGTTGAACAACTTGATGCAAATCTGCAGCTAGACCTGGACGCATCCGTCCACCTGAACTGCTTTGGGAGGACAAGCTTGCCATGGAAGAGAGCTGGCATGATAGGCGCGCTGGCTTACAAACGGGCAGGGGTTTGGGTAGGAGGCAACCCCGTGGGGCTGCTGGGAGTCTTCAGCGAGAACTGCTGAAGGCTTCATGTCTGGGACTTCGTTGGTGGTCGAACCTCCTGGACTTCTGCTGTGGGTGCCTCGACTCACAAGGCGCTGTCATGAGTTCTCCACGCCAGCAACTGCAGCGGCATACTTCTTACAACCTGGAAGGGATGCCTTCAGTAAGCCTTGCGTTTCCGGCGGTGCGGGAAGCAATGCAGAAAGTCTCAAACGGCAAACGGGCAAACGGTAAGCCAAGGCCTGCTGCCTGCGGCACTTCTGGGCCTGGAGTGGAGGTCTCTCTTGAGGCCAGGCAGGCCAAAGTGAAAAGCACCTCTTTTCGAAGAGACTTCGTTTCAGGGGCGCGGCAGCATGCGATGCCGTCACTCGGACCTTTTCCACAGAGCACTCCAGCTTCAATGGACTTCCGAATAGAATGTAGAGTGTAGAGCTTGCTGCTTGCCTCTGTTCCGTCTCTGCATCGTCACGGGGATTTTAGGCCTATCTCAGCAAGTGAAGTTCAGCTTTCCAGCCACATCAAAGCCTAAGGAACCCTGCCATCCTGCTAGCTCGGTCCTGGCACGCTCTGACGGGGAGGGCAATGGTGGTACTTCCATACAGGCCTCTGTGTGCATCGGATGACCTGATGCCCATTCTCTGGAGCCAAGAGCCAATACACTGCCCTCCCTTGCCTGCGCAGGGACCGGCTGCAACTGTTCGGGCGTTACTTGCAGCAGCTTGTGATGGAGTCCCTCGGCAAGGCTGGGCTCTTCGTTGGCATCCAGATGTGACTTTGGTCTGCAGGCAGTCAAAAAGCTACTATCGGTGTATAGGGGAGACCCTGACTGCGATACTTGGTAAGATATAGGATTCGGCACCTACTATGTGTATGTTCAGTGGGACAGTTTTGGGGCACTTCCTGCCCGCGTGCAGGCCAAGAACTTGCAGGGAGCCTTGGTAAACCACGGCTTGACCGTGTATGGCAACAAAGGATCCACGGACCAGCACGCTGCTTGCCCTCAAAAAGCACGGTGCTAGAGCTATACACAAGCCTGATTCCCAAGCGTTCCAAGTTCAGTATGCCAGTAATCGGCCAAAGGGAGTTGACAGCCACTTGAAGTCACTTTAGAATTCGACTGCGCAATGTGTCTTTGTACATTGATTGTTCGATTGATCTCAGTACCTAGGCCCAGAAACAGAAGCTTCACGAAGAGCAGCTTACCTGTTTCATGCGAAGCCTAGGCGCTTCTGCAGCAACTTCTTGACGGTCCAGATGACTTCTTTGCTCTCTTTATTGCGGCACTAGAAGGTGCTCACGACAAGGAAAGCAAGGAGGCAGCTGTCCCATGTCAATTTAACGGTGCCCTCGACGTTCCAAACTTTGGAGACTGCCTGAGCCTATGCAAGACCCAGGTGGAAGTTGGAGTCACCAGCAGTGATTACCTGTTGGCTTTCCTTCTTGGCACACGGCGAGCGTTGACCCGTGCTGGACGCAGGACTGTCAGGTAGTGCCGAACAACTAAGGAGTTGTCGAAATCCTTAGGGTATTGACACAACGACAAACTCGATAAAGATTTCTAAATTGCTGGCTCGATATCAAGAGAATAAAACGTATGCAGGTCTACACAAGAACTATAGCGCCGGTATCGGCAAAGATATGCCTTGCAAAAGCCTGCTACTAGTAGCAACCATGAAATTATGATTCCCTCACTGCTCAGCTGAGTGTCAGGATCGTTCAAAGTAGGCATAAGGGGCAAGAGCAATTGACTCAAATTGGCTTCCAGCATGCTGTAAATTAACACAGGAGCCTCACCATCACTTTGCAGCGTGTGGATGCATTTCATCTCGGGGCAACTTGGACTGGCATGGCTGCAAAGTTGATCAGCATGTGGCACTGCAAGCCCTTTAATGTGTCATGTCTTCTAGACTCTAGACTGGTGGCAATCAAAGCCAGCAGCAAGAGCAAGATAAGATAGCATGAGCTGGACGCAGTGGTGAAGCAGGGATGATGGGCGGAAGGGAGGAGAGCATGAAGAGATCACAACCATAATCACAGTGTCAATCATCGCCATCATCTCCGTTATCGTAGTAATTCCGCATGTAAGATTCACACATAAGTTGCAGGGGCCGCGTAGGTTTCAATTGCTCAGTCTCAGCTGGCCCAGGTGCTTATCGCATTGTTCGAGAGAGCGGTCGGGCTTTATGCTGCGCTGATTGGAGCTGCTTGTCCGCATGGCCATGCAAAAAGGGGTCTATTTACCGTAGACATGTGTTGCTCTTCCGTACACAGGTTGAGGTTCCTGGTCTGGAAGAAACAAGCTTCCCAGCAGTAGATCGCAGTTGCCAAGGTCAATGCCTACAACCAACCAGCTGTGGAGTCCGGCAAGCGTGCTGCAGCGGATGTTCTCAGTCTCATGCGCAGCCTCGGAAACAACGTAACATTGGCTGCGGCTTAGATGCACACAAGCATTTGTTGGCGCAGGTTAGCGCACGGGAACAGCTGCGGATTTGTTGGAACTGACTGAATTGTCTAAGGCCGAAGACGCAGAGCCTGATGACCTAGAGATGCTCCGCGAGTACTTGGCACTTCCCAGCCGGCTGTGAAAAAGTCAGCTTGCCATGCCTTGTCACTGTTTCAGCCGACTGCCGTAGTGCCAGCGCCCATGCTTAGCGCATGTAAAAAAGGTTATGACTAGCTGCTAAAGATGGGAAAGCTCCTTGAGCTTCGCATGAGGTTAGGCGCCCTTCTGCGTGCTGTGGAGGACGTGGAGCTCTTAGACCACTAAGTGCTGGCTGTGCATGAATGCGGCTCGTTCAGTTCCAAGCTGTAAGCTAAACCACATTACCGCTTAGGAGCGCCTGGAGTGAGGCAGAGCTCTCCACTTAGGGTCCGCAGCCTGAACGAAAAGAAAGTGGTTGAGTATTCAATCAGAAATACAGGCACGCTAGGTCTACTTCAACCCCGGAAGGAGAAATTTGAATTCTCAAGACACTCCGGCTGAAGTGGCAACTCCGCAAATTGGCACTTAGCATGGGATCCTACCTGCTGATCCTGCCTTGCCTTGTGCAGCACGGCACGCGGAGTTACCGCTCTACAAGGCTGTCATGCAACAAGTCATGACGGGCATTATTTCGGTTGATTTGCCACTTTGCCGCAGGTTTCCATCCCGCGGGATAAAACAGTTGGAGGATTTCTTGAGTCGAGCAGCAGTCCCGGTGCTCATGTCTGGATCTAACTAATCCGTGTCACCGCTGTGGCTTGTAGCATGCAGCCAGACCACACGGAGGACAGTGTGCAGACGGCAGGCACACTCAAAGTCGCACATTTCTGAAGCTGGCGCCTTCTAGAAATGCACCCGCTATCTTGCACTGTCTACCCCTAAACACAGTGCAACCATGCCCAGCCCAGTACTCAACCCGCATAGCCTCTGGTACAGTAGCTCGAACTACTCGCTTCTGATGCTATGGCGCTGGCTGCTGCTGAGCGGCCTACTTGAAGCATGCAGCTGGCTGTTTTGAAACCTTTTTCTGCTCGTGTATTTGGTTTTCCCGCCACTTCAGTGATGGCAGTGACTCGTTCCAAGTTGGCAACTACCCATTTGCCTCTGAGCCTTTTGACACGACCATGAGGCATCGGCGGCGGCGAACAATTGGAGCCACTCGCTGGCTGCTTGAAGCGCGTGCTTCAAGACGGATGGAATGCTGCATGGCGGAATCCTTCTTCCATCTTCTTCCCCACAGCCTGAGCTATCTCACATGTATAGGAGAGGCTCCTTTGCATCCCTTTGCTACTCGTAGTGCCGAAAGCTGGTGTTGCAAAAATTGACAACTGAGGTGACACCCTGCTGGCCGAGTCCATGGGGCCCGTACGATGCAGGTGCACAAGTGGCTTAGGCTCATGCTTGCTTAGATCAGAGCAGAAATCCTATTTATGCTGAAATCAGGGTGAAGACCTCACAACTCCATGAACCTGGGTTCTCGTGCATACTTGCTCTAATGCTCTTAATTACGAATTCACTTCCAGGTCAAGTTGGAGCTGCTCCTTCGCACCCATCTTGGAGCGATCCCGTCGACATCTATGACGCTGACAGCAAGCACCTGGGAGTGCGCACGGCTTGGGAGGCAAGTTTGGACTGGCTTCGACTTTCAGTTCCTAGTTCAGGCTTCCTGCAGCGAGGGGTAAATTGGGATGGCCGAAGCCGTAGCCTGTACTGACCTTGCATTGCGGACGAGTGGAGAGTATGTTTATGACAACTTAAGGTACATCAGACCATTTCAGGATTTCAGGAGTCTGGCATGGAGTGGAACAGGTTTCTGAGACCTTCTTGTCTTACAGGCTCAGACAACATGCCTGTGGCACCGGACTGTTTATGCAGCGCACTCAGATCCAGCCGAAGGCAGGTGTTCACGGCAGTATGGGTTTGTAGCCCTGCCTCCTCAGGTGGTTCCACGACTGTTGGATGGCCGTGTACTCTTCCAGCGCCGCGCTGATTGGAAGTGGCGAATGGGTGGCTTCTGGGATCTAGGTGAGGAAAGGGCTGCATGATATCCAGCATGGACGAAGACCAATCTGAAGCATGCGCTGCATCAACATGCCTGCGGCTAGGCGTATGCAATGATGCCAGGTGCCTCAGAGACTGTGGAGGTGGCTGAAGACCTCCCCACAGCAGCGCAGCGAGCAGTTCATGAGGCCTCTCATCTTTTATTGCAGAACCAGCCTCTCAACAGTCCTGAATCCGGAAAGAAGCCTCCGACCCTGCTGTTTGAGGAGCTTGGGAGCCGTGCAGTGCTGCCGGCCCTGTCAGAATGCTGTCGCCTGAACACAGGCTCCCGGCCAGCAAAGTATGCCAAAGCTGTTAGGGCCCAGTTGAAGGGGTTTGGGATTGGACCCTAGGGCTCTGGGAGCTCTATCAGGGATGGCAGTAGCTACAGAGGTATTGAAAATAAGTGTTCTGTATAGTGATATCAACGTTGCGTCTGATTTGAAGTTTGTGAAAGCTGATGTTGACGTTCTCTGGCCTTGAGGGCCTACAAAGAATTCTTTAGGGTTCCACTGGTTTTGTCAAGGTTGGAGCGGAGCAATGCCAAAGATGCAGCTTTGCCAGCAGCTGAGCTGAAATTGTCTTCCCCGTCTCAGCCCAGTGCTTCATGACATCAAGCAGCAGCAAGTTGCTACGCGACAGATGCTTAGTTGCAGACACGATTTGCATAGTCTTGACTCATCAGGTTAGATCAAAATATCGTCTACACCGCCCTCGGCAACCTTAGTGCTGATGCGGGCGAGCGCGATGAGGAAGTGGACGCACTTGAGTACTGGTCACTGGAGGATTACATCAGAGAAGCAGACGCTCAGTCATTGGCCCAAAGCATGACCGACATCCCCCATTCCAACCCGTACAAGCGTGGGGAGTGCGCGAGTTCTTTTTGAAGCTGAACTGGCTGAAAGTTTGTCACTTGCCCGCCAAGGACTTGAACCGCTACAAGTTTGCTCCCTGGGCACATGCCCTTATCGTCGGCTGCCCACGCTGCTTTGGCACAGTCTCAGCTGAAGAGCTCTAAAATGACTGCTTGCTCGTAAAACAAAGCCTTTCAGCGCGGGCTGATGCCGAGCCTGGCAAGGTTTTGTCACTCAAGTAGCACTGCGTTTCCTCGCAGCTTCCATGTATTGGCTTTTGCTGCCAACTCACTGTACCCATCGCAGGCAAAAGCTGCAGTGAAGAGATGAGACGATGGCTGGAAACAAAGGTGGCCCAGCAACACAAATGTGTAGGCTTTGCCTTACCAGATTGCTTGCCGGGACATTCCAAGTATGTGGCTGATCGTCATCACAGCAATGATGTGTGCAGATAGTCGGATGGCACGGGCATGTGTGGCCAAGCTGAAAGCGGTACGGTAAATCCCCAAAAAGGCGATGAATTTGGAAAGCATCTATGCTGCTGGCATACACAATGCTGACTTGCCGCCAAGGGTCATGTCCGAGAAAGCTTCTGCAAGGTAACCAAGAGATGCTGTGTTTTCCAACAAGCTGGGCTTCAAAGGACAACCCTGGTTCTGCAGTGGCTTTTACATGGAGCCGCTACAGACTGTAGTTTCAAAGTTACGTACAGCTGCATGAGTAATGTTCGCCAACAAGAGGAACAAACAAGCTGTCTGAAGGTGTTCACAGACACACTTGCTGGTGCGTTGAGGGATGAGCTTGAGAAGCGATATCAGTTGCGAAAAGAGTTGCCACAACTGCCGGGCTCAATGTAGTCTCATCTTCGCCTCCAGCACAAAAGTGCGTAAGAGGGGCTGAACCTGGTGCTTGGGCCTGGCACTTGCCAGCAACCAACTTACTGCCAGCATGGCCCATGTCCACCCGCATTCAACTTGACCGCTTGCCAACCAGAGTCTACCCACTCACGTGATGACCAGCTGAGCGGATGCTTTCTCCGATAGCGCCTAGCAAGTCTACAGCAAATCCGACTATGACAAAAACTTTTCCAGTGCTCCTTAAGCGAGAGTGCCAATGGCGTCAGATGCCTTAGACCAGGAGTCAGGTGCCCAGCTTTCTCATTTGAAGTCTTCAGTGGATCAGAGGATGCGACATTAAGGTTGGGCCAGCTACTCCTCTCCCTTTGTTCGGCTGATGGGTCTCGGGCTTGTGAAGCAGCAAGCATGACGAGTCGGTGTGCCCGTGGGCCTATGAACATGAGTTCAACCGCTCGTATACCCCATGTATCAAGTCTGTGCTACTCACGGCAACTACAGTACTACAGGTCACGATATAATCCGAGAAAATCCCTACTGGAAAGCAAGCCGTAACGATGGTATTGGCCCTGATGTTTTTCAAGTTTTTGTACTGTTGGACTTTGCTTTCAGGTCTCAGAGAAGCGCAGCGGAGGCTACGCTGGAAGGCACCGCGACGGCAACGGCAACAACTTAGCCTCATCAGCAGTTTTAGCAATTGGCAGCCTGGGTGATGGAAGTTGCAGCAGTAGCCGAAGCAATAATGATGCTGGTTCTGGTTGTGGCGGTGGAGAGTTGAGGCGTGCAGCTGAATCCTGGCTTCCCCACCAGGCACCCAACTTGCACCAGGTTGGTGGGCTCAAGGTCGCCAGGGTTGTCATTATCAGGAGGGAGGGGGTGGTTCCTCATGCAGCACCCTTTGTCAGGTTCCACTCTATTCGTTGTAGAGATTTTCAGGGATGACAAATGGCGGCATGGTTTGGGCCTAGCGGAAGCCCTGCACCTCTAGCACCATGCGTTGCATGTGCGCTGCAAATCTTGAAGTGTACGGCGAATACAGCGGAGGGTCGCTTGAGCCTGATGCCCACGCAGGTGCATAGCCAGCAAGCCTCCCAGACCCACGATAACTGCACGCGTTACAGAATATGCGTCAAGCAGCTCGCAAGCTGCAGCCCAACCACCGAAAGCGCAGTAAACTAGCCCAGTGCGGTTTATTAAGATAGCCCTGGTTGCAAAAGCACATCCGGTGGCAACATGAACCAGGAAAACCAAGCAGCCCTGTGGCTTTATCCATTTGCGTTCGAAGTAGCGGTCACAGCTCAGCTTCTTGACACAATGTGGGTAGTTTCTGCAGTTTTGGCGCTGGTGGAGGTTGGCGACATGGGCCGTGCAAGGCCCCGCTACCCAGGCAGGTACCACTGGGTACGAGCATGAAGCGGCTGTGAGTAATTCAAAGCTTTCCTAGATGCCAACGTGCTTGTACTTCCTCTTTTCCAGGCATTATGTGTAAGATTGAGTAAATACCAGCAGGCCCAACAGCGTGTGTCAGATGCTAACAATCTGCTGATCGCAGATTGCCCTCACGTGTGCTTCTAAACTAGATCCTCTGTAGGCTTGGCTTGGGGGCCTCAATGCCTCATCGCATTGTGAACTCCCCGCATTCGCCGTAAATTCAGTCTTTGATTCGGGCTCTTGGTGTGCCTGATGCTGCTTCCATGCTTCAAGGAGGCCATACCTTTGCGACAGATGGCCTTGACCATTCTGCACGGCCGCCATGTGTTTTGTTTGGCATTTTTCGGAATCAGGGGTACCCATTGCTTGGAGAGATGCAGCTGCACCTTGGAATTTTCTCAAAGCAACCATAAACTATTCTTGGCAGGGGCCCACTTGTCCCTTAACATTCTTGTATACGTCCCCGAATTTTAGCATTCCTGGGCCAGGCGGAAACTGACGCAGCGACGTTGGTCTGAGCTTTCAGCTCAGGACCATGATGCACTGCGAACTGCCTGGACCTCAGGCTTCTTAAGCTCTACGGGCCAATGCTTGGCACGCTTTCTCCGCTAAGGGATACGTTCAAAGACTTTGGAATGTTGTGAGACTGACATCTAGACTGTAGTGCCATGCGGAAGCTGAGATTGCTGAGATTGCGTTTAGTACTTGCTTTAGACATGAGTGAATGTGCGAACATGGCTGCTGCTGCATGTGTCATGACCGCAAGGTGCTGCTGCAGGGCCTGGGGGAGAAGAACAGCAGCTTGCAAGGCCTAAGACGGTACGTGTGGATCAGAGGCTGACAGACAGCAGAGGACTGCGGGAATCCATACCATGAAGCTGTGAAGCTGTAACTGCCACGCAAGAGAGCTGCGCAGTTCCATGATTGGACAGGTCTCTTGTTTGCGTGCATCGCAAACGTGCAGGCGGGAGGCCAATGGCCCGTGAGGGGCTTGGATTTGTACTGTTTGGCAGTTTTGTCTTCCCATCCAACTGGATCCAAGCAAGTAGATTCTTCAGGGGCTGGGCTTTCAGTTCAGGTTGCACATGTCCCAAAACAAAGTAGCAGCCCAGGCGTTGCAGGCGCAGCTCTCCATGGGCATTCTGCAGGGCAACGCAGAGCAGGCCATCTGCAGTGGGAAAGAGGGACAAATGATCTTATCCAGCTCGCTGAATTATGTACTCCTGGAAACTGCAGGAGGGATGGGAGTTGGCAGAAGCATGACTGGCCACTTCTAGTGGATTGGCGTGTATTCGCTCGTGTTTCACAGACTGATAGCAAGGCCGCTGCCTGCGTGGAATGCGCGGCGCTTGGATCATGCAAAAAGTACGATAGGGAAATGTGGCACAAAATAATTTAAGTTTCCTCGCTGCAAAATCGACGTTTGTGGTTCAAGACAGAAGTTTCATGATGTTTCATGTGTAGCTGCGCTGAGACGTGCTGAGGTGCTGCGGTTTTGCTGGAGGATTCCAGCCCGGAGGTTTGGAGCCAAAGCTTCCACAGCTGTTTGCAACATGTTGTGTCACTTCACCTGCTTCCGCCCCAAAGGTGGTGAAGTCGCTCAGTCACCTGCAGGCACGCTCAGGCAGTAGTGGCAGGGTAAGTGAGTCCAGGTCTGCTTGTACTCACCTGTAGAATTGCTCTTCCTACTGCAATATGCTTCTTGTGATGTGGCTTCCCAACAGTCGAGAGCTAGATGGCAGATGTGCCACGAAGGCACCACTGCTGCAGCTGGCATCTTCTGAGGTGCAGATATGCATTACCATGCACATGCCTCAGCACCCAAGTGGCTGTAAAGTTCATTTGATTCAGAAAGGCGTCTGCCCCAGATCTCCGGCGAAGCTGCGCCGGGCACACAGACTTTGCGCAGCGGGCCACCATCATTGCCACGGATAAGCACTGCAAGAACACGAGAGACAGAGGAGGTCATGCCGGGACAGATGTTTCTTCCCTTGTTGGAGCCAAGGTTCGTGCACATGTGTCGAGCGCCGGACTCAATCATGTTAGAACGCTTTACACTTGTGAATTGCTGACACACTGAGTGCTCACCTCATCTTGTGGCTTCGGTCAAGCTTATCAATCCACGATGGGTACGCAGGCAAAAACAGGTTGGACTTCACCAAAAACACACACAATCAACGCTTCATCCTGACTGAGCACAAGAAGCTGTGACAAGAGTACATTAGGCTGGCCCTTCCCGCAGCCCAGACCAGAAATCAGAAAGTCTCTTGGAGCGACTGCAAGAGTGCAAGATGATGCGCCTTCCTCCAATGGGCGGTTGGCATTCCACTGCTGGCCACAGAGGGCGCTTGGGACCTGTGCTGCTTCTCATGGCACTGGGGTGGCCTGCTGAGATTAGCATCTTTCACCTGCGGCGTGTTATTGCATAGATTCCAGCTAGAGCTTGGAACTGCTTTTTCTATAGACCACAGGGAGAGACCCCTTGTGAACTGAGGAGCGGCTTAGGCTTCAGTGGCCTTTCCATGAAGCGGAGCCAGGCTCGCTTAGAGGCCTGGGGAGTTTTCACTTTTTCAGCTGGTCTGGTAGTCTGGTACGGGCAGCGGGATGAAGCAGTAGCTCGGGAAGCAGTGGGCGGTAGACTAATGTAGTCGCTTTCTTTAAGACTTCGACCGCCTCCCTGAGCATCATGGGCACCTGACCCTTTCTTGAGCTCTTTCGATTGGGTGCGATGGGTGGTACCACTAAAGGCGCTCAGCAAAATCCCTGACAAGTGGCCCCGCTTCGCACGGCAAACTCGTGTTATGATCAGCAAGAGCGTCATCAGTCCGCTCTCATGCACCACAATGTCAGAAACAGGTGCAAGATTTGCTTGATATGTCAGAGCAGAGGCGTAAGATTTGGTGGTCAGCTCCGAAACCAAGACTCTTTTCTTCTAAGGCTCTCCAGCACAAAAGGGAACGCCTCCAACTCCTAGAACACAGGTGAAGTCCTGGAACGTTGGCGATGAGCCAGATGATGCCCCAGATGAGATGAAGCGGATCACTGGGGAAATCTGTCAATGGGGCCGGAAGAGGCAACCTCGTGGGTGTCGATTCCCATCCTGCCTACGTGCTGGTTGTGCACATGTGCTTTGGGCCCTGATGGCCAAGATTCTGAAGGTGTAGTTTGCCTGTTGTGGGTTGCAGGGGAAAAACGCATGAGAAGATTCCAGCTAAACGCGCAAGCTGCATGCTGAAGAACAACAATGCGAGATAGATGGTATGTGCACCTGACGTTTGGATGGAGGTGGTTCGACAGAGCTTTGGAAGCTTGGGACCAAGCGGAAACAAAGGATGCAATAATGCTCCTTGCAGAGATATTGCTGCTTCTATGTGGTTTCAAAATTGGTCTTGAGCCAAGGGGGTCTAGCCGGATCAGTTGTAGGGTGGAACGTCGGAAAAGAGATTTCACAGCCACATGCTGCATGGATGACATTGAGAACACAGTGGTCAGAACATGTCTGTTCCGGATGTCCCACAGCCGGCAAAGTTACACGGAACGCGGCAAGGTACAGCGCAATCATCGGCAGCTCAGCGAGCACTTAGTCAGAAGCTGGTAGCAGGGCAGCAAATCCCTTTTGGGCATTTTTCTTGAGTGTATCACGGCGTCAAACCGCGGCTGCCTTGCAGGCGCTGCTGCAAATTGCAAGGAGTTCGACCACGGGATGCATTTTTGGGAGGACGTAAGAGATCGGGGTGCTTCTGTTTCTTGTGAGAACATTCAAAGCAGGTACCTCTCGGACATCGATTGTAAAATTGTAGAGCTGCCTTGAGATGGAATTTCGAGTTAGCAAGGAAGCACACTATGTCGCACTTATCAGTACGCAGAGGAGATCCAAAGCAGCTCTCTGGACGTAACCGACACGGTCTACAGCTCTGTACTGAAGCTTCTGGGCTTCAAGGGAGACCATCCGACAGCTAGCAGGAGCCGTGACTACTGTGTGCACATCTTCTTTGGGCATGACGATGTATTTGCCCCAGATTTGGCCAGCGTCCCTGAACAGGATTTGGCAGCAGATGGCCGATAGTGGCCTTCTTGCAGGGTCTAAACGCCAGCAAAGCTCCTCGGCTTGTTGGTCGTGAAGGTAGATGAGCCCTACGTCGATCTTGTGGGTTCGGAGAGGTAAGACCTGAACTCAAAATCGATGTAAAACGCAAACACGATGTTGCTTTTAGTAAATCGCTGGCATTGGTTAAGCTCAAGAACCTGACAAAAGCCTCGACGGCAACGAGTTGCTGTCGAAAGTCCCAGTGAATCAAATCACATGTTGCCCGCTAACTGCGTTACCGGAGAGGCCTGACTACTTGGCAGTACGATCGCTTTACATGATCAGAGTAAAAAGGTCATCCATAAGCCAAGCCTAAGTATCCAGGGCCCAGCATGGCATTACTGACGATGACTTGAGCTGAGGCTGCCTCACTGGAGTTCTCAATGCAGCAGCTTCCGCAGGACTCCTGTTTCTGCATAGCAGGCACATTGCAGTGGCATGGCAGGCTTGCAGCCACACGAGGCATAGACACTGGGGTTTCTGAGAATTTTGAATTAAGAATTACTGAAACTTCTCATTTTCGGAAATATGAGAGTGACCTCGATTTTCAGAAATCTCCACTGGCTGGGAAGGAGATGCCGAGCTTGTCAAGAAGGCCCGGCTTGGCCTTGAAGCGCTGGCAGCGACATGTAAGTTTCTACTTGTTGTATTTGGGTGTACGTGGTAAGGCGTCATATTGTTTTCTGCGGAGACCTGAAGATAAGAAGCATCGCCTGCAAAGTCTGCAGGAGATGAAAGCAGCTCAGGCTCTAGGCGCGGCGTTCGTGGCTCTACTCTGCAGCTGGATGTAGCCGAAAACGCCTGAGAGTGTAAGAGAGTCTGAGCCTTCCGTCAGGTGTTGAGCTAAACCCAGCTCATTTCGGCTGCCTGTTGAAGGCTTGTCGGCAGTCCAGAGACCCTGAGATGCAGAAAAGGTGTTGACAGTTGCTGTCAAAATTTGGCTTTCTGGAGCGAATGCCAATTCTGTCTCTTGCAGCATTCTGGCAGATCCTCCTGGAGTTCTTACCTTCCTCTTGCCTGGACACGAGGATATAGAAGCTGCGGAGCAAGCCATTCTCCAGATGCGGGATGAAAGCATCAAGCATCTGGGCACCAAGCAGCGGAGACGCGGTGCTCAGTCGTATGCCACAACCTGCTAGCTCCTTTCACCCACTCAGTTTTTGCGGAGGCCAAACTGACTGCATTATGTCCAGAAGAAACAACCTCACGGCCCCCAAGAGCAAATGCGTACTTGCCTCATTCTTGTTCACGCCTCGGTCTGCGACTGAGGGTCAACATCATCCACTACACCACCTACATGGGTGCTTGCGCCAGGCCCCTTTACTGAGTCGGGGCATGGGCTTGGTCAGGGATCTCTTCCTTCTAGTAGGTCAGGTGCCTACCGGTTACTTGCGCATACTTGTGCTTTCAAACCTATAAGACTCCAAAACATTTGTGCCCATGCGCAGGTTCGTGGCAGATACCCGCCCAGGCCACGCAAAGGCCGTGGAGCTCGAGCCACCTGGACTCCCAAACCTTGAATTGGTTCCTTTCCTTTGAAACTGAAAATTTACTTGGCTGCTCGGAGAGATTTGACATTGTTGCATTCGCACTGCACCTTTCGAGGCAGAAGGTGCTGACCATGATGGAAGAGGACATGGCCCCATCCCTAGGAGAGCAATCGTGGGCAGTGTTTGCATGGAGCATGCGGGCACAAACACTCGACGCAAGCAGCTTGTCTACCACTTGAAAGCTTCGGTCTTCGTGGGACACTTGTACTGACAGGTCTCGCCCAACGACTACTTCCTGGAAGAGCGCGTCATGCTCCATCTGGGCATCGGCAATTTGAGGACAACTTGGGCTTCCACAGCACAATGTTTGTGAACACATCTCAGCACCCCTGTGCTCATCTCTGGTGCATGGAAGCTTGAGTGGCAGGGACTGGCTGGTTGATGACAGTCGCCCCAGGCCCGTGTGTGCCTGTGCAACGTAGCGGCATGATGCAGCGTGCAACTACCCCGTTTGAGCCGCAAAAGCCTTGGCTGAAGAATTGCATAGCTTGAAATGCCAGTGTCAGCAGCCCTTGACTTGACATGAAAGTTGTGAGCCTGACCTCCGCAAGACTAGACATGCGGAATCCCGGAAAGTTTAAATGGATGTAGCAGCAGCCACAATGGAGGCCCAGCGCGGAGGAGGTTGAGGGTGCAGCAGCAGTCCTGCAAGAGGAGCGAACTTTGGCGTTTGGGGATGAGGGATGATTCATCGCTTCCCTACCATACCCCTTCCACTCATGTCCAATATGTGGCCCTCCCCCCCCCCGCGCTCCGAGGATGTAGGCCCAAGCCTCTGTAATTAGGGTATCCGGGTCCATGAGATGGAACTCCAGTCGTTGTAACCAATAGTAGTACTAGCTAGTAGTACACATTGCTGCGCTCTTCTGGCACTTCCAAATTTTCGCGTTTTGGCAGATTGGATTTTGGGATTTGCAATTACGTTCTGGGATTTGGACTTTGTAGTTGCGTAGGGGTTTAGTAGTATCAGGTCAACATTAGTTGTATTCTGCGTCTCACATGTGTCAACTCACATTACGGGAAGGGTCGCTCATGTTGAGCTACAGAGGCTCCCCGCTGGTCCGGGTTTGGATGTCAAGCGTGCTTCGGAGCCAGGTCAAGGACCTCATTTCGATGAAAAAAAGGATTGGATTTAAGGCTCTCAGGTGCAGAGTTGAATCAGACGACACCATAGACGAAGAGATTACATGAACCTCCAGACCGAACTTTGTCATGTCCTTATCATTCCATATCTCAAGGAGCAACTAGGATCACCACAATCTCACACTCTCGAAGCCCCCGCCGCATCAGGCCATCGAGCACAACATTCGCTTGACCCTGGGCCTCCGGCAACTGAGGCGGAAAGCACTCGCTCGTCCTTGTCTGCCGGGCTTGGTCCTGGGTGTTCGGGTTCATTCTGTGATCTTTCCTGTTTTGCTCGGAGCACACGAGTGCGGTCTCGCCGTGCAGTTCTTGGCAAGTGGGTTAGTTTGGTAGGGAGCTGAAGCATCCTCGCGGCCAGGGACCTGATCCCCGCGCTTCGCGATGCTTCCGAGGAGGCTGCGGCAAGAGGGCTGCAGGGCATCTGTGCTGTGCTGCAGCGTAGGAGTTGATACAATTGCTTCAGGGCGCCGAGTCTGGCCAATTAGCAGCAGCGCTTCTTTCGTGGTAGTTGGGCATACTGCGAGGGTAGGACGTGTTATGATAGCCATGACTCGAGCATGCGACCAGATGTGAGTGTGAAGAGTCTGAAGAGTCGGATGCCCTGCTGCAGGGCTACGCACTTCTCAACGCAGGGCGTCAAGCTCTTCCTGCCTGACACGCTTGCAGCGCTTGCGGGCGTCAAGCTTCACGGCAGTGGCTTGGATGCATGTTCCTCAACTCTTGGGAAACCTGTGACACTTGGGCGGTTCCTGTGCAGATCGCAGTTGCTTATCGCGCAGGACGTGCCGCAAAGCTGCATCAGTGAGCCAAAGAGACCTGCCCCGTATTGGCATGCCGCTCCAACTGCTGTATATAGCGTTATGCCTTTGAGGTGCCGGCCACGCGGGCAAAATTTCAATTTAGTTGCATTGAAGCTAAGCAAGTTCCTTGCTTGCCAGGACTTGTCGTGATCTCTGGTGCTACCACTGCAAGCATCCGCACTAGGGACATGTCGTTCTTTGACGCCTGCATTGCAACAGAACAGCTTGCGTGATGACTTGTTTTGCTACATAGCATCATTTCAACAACAGGCGATTCACAAGGTAGAGATGAGCCCCTTACGCAGCCAGCGCCAGCTGTCCCCAGCCATGACCAATGCTGGCCCCTCAGACTGGCTGCAACTTCCGGCCTTGCATTTTCATTTGTTTGCTCTGAGGCTCGGGGCCTTTCTTCTGGTTTGGTTTGGGGCTCCTCCGCACTGGGCGCCGCTGACACTGCGATCCATGAGCTGGAACAAGGTCGCTCTAGCTGATTTGCTTCGAATCGTATAGCTTTATGTCAGTTTTTGAAGGCATTGTAAGGCCAGCCCTAGAACTGCAGCAGAAAGAACGATACCAAGGACTTTCAATTTCTCATCTTCACGGACCAGTCTCCCTCAGAATGGTCCGACGGTGCGGCGGGCGCTGCAAACGTGCAGCCCACAACTCAAGCACCTAGCAGACTAGACAAGGCTGACAAAGAGGGTTGAGCACTCGCACCACTGGATACTCTCAGCAATGCGTCGCTGGCCTTCTTGGCCCAGGTTCAGGCATCTCAACGCCTCCATCTTTTTGCGCCTAGCCACAAGAAGGACAGCCATCGAACCAAGGCAGCGACAGCACAGAGATTGCTCTCTTACCAAAAGAATCATGGCCAGGCTGCAAGACGGCTACAAACTGTGTGACTGGCGTATGGCCTATGGAGAAGCTGGGCTGACTTGGTTTGTGGGACACCAAAGCAACCAGAATCATGACAAAGCATTTGGCTAATTAACCCCCAAGCGGGCCTGATTGGATGGATACCTGCAGGTTTCTGCTGGCTTTCTCATTCGAGCCCCCCTAGGAATTATGAAGCGCATGAACCTCATGAACACCTGCCAGCGGCATGAGATGCTGCTGATTTAGAAATAGTCAGTAAGGAGATCTTTGCAACCTGGCTTCGGCGTTTCCACTTCTGGGGCTGGGCGCCTAAGCCGCACTTGACGATGAGCCAGCTTCACGCTGCCTTTCCTCGCTGAAGCTCAGCCAGCAGGGCAGAGAAAACGGAACCCCCGCGCAACCACCCATCTCCGAATATTGCCTTCAAGAAGTGGAAGGTTGACCTCGACGTGGTCCTCGGCAGATTGGCCTTCTTCGGCTACAACGCGTCAGCGCTCACCGACAAGGATGTGGCTGGGGAGCCCGCTGGCTTAAGAAAGTCCGATCGTCATGAAGGCGTGCTGCTAGAGGGTTGACGGTGCTGCGGCTGCAGAGTTCAGCATGATCCTCTGCTGCTAGTCCACTGGCCGAGGACTTCCGGTACCTTTGGAACCAAACAAGCACCGCTCAGGTTCGGATGGCCTTCTCAGGGGCCGCTGACTCTCCTACGCAACTGCCCCGAGGTGACGCTGGGCAATACCTTCAGCCGATCGTTTTTCCAGGAAATGACTCAAAATTATGGGCCCCCTTTTCGGGCGCTATAAGCGGGACAGAAATTGCTAGCAGAAGCCCAGACGAGCTACAAGTGGCCGGAGCCTTGCTTATAGAAAGGAACCGTCTGTGGAGACGGCTGCCTGATGTTGCCACCAGGCTCCGCCAGTTTACCAGTCAGGTTTGCAGAAAGGTTGGTGGTCTCCTTAAGGGTTGAAGCGGCTTTTGGCGTTTCGAGATGCTGAATACGAACTTACTTAAAGTGAGTCGGCCACTGCGACAGGCTTCAGCATCCCAGCATCCAACGTTTGAACGAGCCGCGGTCAGCATATCACAACCACAGAGGTTTCTGACGGCCTTCTGTCCTGCAACGTGTCATTACTTTGAGGAGTGGGCATTTGGCGACCTTCTATGGAGCGCCCCGATCGCTCGCCTTGCACGGCCCTTTCCAACGCAGTGCCGCAAGCAGCAAGAAGCTTAAGAAGCGATAACATTCCCGGTAGCAGTCTATGACAGAAGCGACTTCAGGCTCTCATCGTCATCACGGCATAATGATTCTTGGTGGCAAAGGACAGGAACGTACCGGCGCGGCCTAATTGTCCTCCTGGCACCTGCGTAAGGCCTCACTACATCAGAAGTCTGATGAAGTCTGAGCGCGTTCCACTGAGGAAGGCGACATTATGTGGCACCAAGGCAGGCAGGGGCCTGACGTAAATGGATAAAGAAGGGCAGAAGAAGCTGCCCAGGTCGGCTTTGGCATTTGCCTTCATGTGGCGAAGCGTCCTACCTCCACTTTGCACACTGGAAGGCCAGCAAACAAGAATCAGCTGCCTTCCCACTGCATGTGGCTGATCCCGAGGCTGCTTTTGAAAGCCAGATTCTGCCGACCGGCCAGGCAATTGCACAGTTGGAGTAGCTGAAAGCGAGTGTATCTCAGGCCTGAAATCTGAGCTCACTGTCTTCTTAAGATGGCCATGCTCTGAAAACAGCATGACAAGAATTGTGAAGGCGTTTCTTCTTGGACCACACGGTGCCATCGTGCCTTCTGACGCGGCGTGGGCGCGGCTGGAGCACTGTACGTACGAAGAGGCAGAGAAGTCGCGGTGTGGCCAGCCGTAGTTGTTGCTGTAGTCTAGGAAGGATGACAGCGACAGTGAAAGCGAGTGTTCCGGCCGTGGCAGTCTTTGTATCTTTCCAGGCTCGTGGTGCGCGCTTCGCCTGGGACTGGGAAACGAGCACCCCAGAGACCGCTTTCGCTTCGAGAAAGAAATCGCGCATGCGCGAGCAGGGGAAGTGTTCAAAGCAACATTCAGTTCTGAAGCCGGCAGCCATTCCCACGTCTTGTGGAGATCAATGGATGGCAGTCATTCCTCAATGGTTGACCAGGTGTCACTTCGTTGCTGGCATCAGGCTTGGGAGAGGCTCACTCACTTGATCCAAGTTATCTGCACTGCAGGTGTAAAGTGTAAAGTCTGACTGATGGATAGTAGAGAATAAAGGAACAGTTATGGGGACGAATACATTGCCTTCTCATGTCTCAAAGGAAAGAAGCTATCAGCAGCAGAGTATTTCTCACTCAGCCCTGCCTGAGGGCGCCCACCACGCTGTTCTGGCTGCTCTGCCAGCTTGGCTCGCTGTCTATGGGCAGCTCTGTGAAGGAGCCATATGAGCCACTCCAGTATAGTCTGAACTCATTAAAGAGGGTTATATAGGGGATAGTATAGGCGACTACCACAGGGGTTTATTAAGGAGGGACAGGAGGAGTTTAGACAATGGCCCATATGGGAGATTGGCACAAACTTGGGGGGTGGATTTTTGGTGAAAGCCTAAGCACTTTGTTACTTGGAAGATAGACATTGTAACGGGTATACCCATACTACGTACACTGCAGCCATCACTGCTAGAAGTTGATTGGCTACAATGACTTTGTAAGCACCCTATGATTGCAAGCGCGGCAGTCTTTCACACTGCTTCTTTTTCTTGGTCTTGTCCAATGAATCTGTGAATCCCCGCTGTTCTGAAGAGTTGTGTTGTCTCGCGCAAGATTACAGCCAAAGTCAGCAGGCCCCATGTACAAGGTGTTCGCAGTCACAAAAGTCACAAACAATCTGATTGATGATGCATGCAAGGTGCATTAGGAAGTTGCGCTTTGCAAGCATAGTGCAGTTGTAATTTCACAGCAGCTGGACACCAACTACGACGCAACTGTCAAGCTGCGTTCGCGCTTGTATTTTTGCACACCTGCCACCTGTGGACCAAAAGAGCGTTTGCTCCTGAGTCTGAATTTGGATACTCGTAAACCAGTGGGCATCGTGTTCAGTCGCCAGCCAGCTGGAAGCAAGCCCAATCGTCAGCACCTGTCACGAACGCACCCCAAAGTTTCTGAGCAAACACAACCATACCCACGCTTGCTTGGCATCCGCTGGGTAAGCCAGAGCAGGGTCCTTGGAGAGTGTCAAGTGCCACAGTGGACTGCACAGGCAGACTTGCAGAGGTCTCACTTTGAGACCTTGGCGTGCTTACAGCATTGTGGTACATCGTGGGCCACGGCGAAGCCTGAGCTGAGGCAAAGTACAAATGAGCTCCGAAGATGTCGCCAAGGCCTCACAACAGATCCTGACGATCAACTCCATTCTTGGGAAGCATGTTTGCCCAACGTAAGCCAGGATGCACAGAGTCCTGAAGATGTCGCGACATGCAGGTGGTTATGTGTGGGCTGCCCAGATGCGGCAAAACGCGTGCAGCTCAGTTACAGCTGATCTCAACGTCTTGTTCGCAGATCTTTCATTCTCGCTGTTGTGAATTTCTGCAGGTCGATCAGTAAAGTGGTGCGCTGGGCTCAGAATTGTCCGCACTTCTCTCTTTTCGGAAGCTACCACAAAAGCCTTTGTAAGATTACTCAAGGAGGCGGGCTCGTCATAGATTGAAGGAGTAAATGCCGAAAAGCCTTGGTTGAGAGCTGGAATTGACTCTCTGGAGCCGAGAGGGAAGTGTTCACGTGGGACGTTGCTGCAGGCTCCAATAATCTCGTGTGGAGGCATGGCAAGCAAGTCGAGGGCCATTGCCTCAATGAGGTTTCAGAAGCTCTCGCCACACGAATCCCTCTTCCTGGAGTCCGGCATCAAGTCCGGCGCCCGCGCGCTCTAAGCATCTGTTTCCAAGCCAAACTTGCACCCTCCAGGTTGGAGACTTTCACCATTGTGCACAACAGCCTGTTGCGGTTGAAGGCAGGAATTGCTTTCATCAATGCACTCGCAGCTGTCAGAAGACCGTGCACTGCCAGCTCGTCTGCTTGAAGCATAGCAGCTTGCTACTGGAGGTTCATCGCACAATCATTTGTGGCTGCAGGAAAGGTTTAATACTGCTCCCTGTTCTTGCACATACCCCAGGACCCGTTCGCCTAAACCAAACTTCTTGTCTTGCCAGCTGGTGGATTTTCCTGGAAACCTTCTGCTCGATGACTCTCTCAGTCTGCATCCATTGGACGCTTCCGTGTTCAGTGCCTTGTTCGCAAATGCCGTGCTTTAGTGTTGGGAGCAACCACAGGACAGGCATGTTAAAGAATTTTATTGGGGTGTTCAGCATGCAGAAAATGCTTTTGCCTATCTCCTTGGTCATGCCTGGCGCGGCAGCCGTTTCAGGAAGGAAGAGCCAAGCTTCCTTGAGCCTTCTTGCTAGACTTCGATAAATGTTAATCGTCCCTTCTGGTGCGTCCTTCCAGATTGAATCCAATTAGCACCAGCACTGGGAGTCACAAAAAAACGCGACTCGCATGCTCAGCGCCGCGCAGCCACACATTTTACGACTCAGGTGGGCCATGTGTAGTGGTACTTGTGATCGACGCGGGGAACTTAATCTTGGTTCTCCAGAGCTGCTGCTTGCAAGAGTTGCTTTGTTCTGCCTTAGAAGAGAACTCACATGCACTTGGCCATGTGGCGCAATTTATGCAGATACAGCCAAATTTGTGCAAGGCTCAGCAAGAAGATGCGTACACATCGAGTGTGGCTAAAGCAAGAAAAGTTATAGAGCCTTGCGCTCAGACAAAATCAGACGTCGCTGCCAGAGCTTCCTTGTCATCACCACGACAGCAGATTGCACAGCGTTGGCAAACTTGTTCCCTTTGCAGCAGCACATGTTCGTAGGCTACTAGTAGGCATTTATGGCATGATCATACAGGCTTGAGGGCTTCAATCTTCAGAACAGAGAGTAAGAGCACTGCGTCTAACTGAGGTTTGCATGCAAGCGCAATCCTGACGTCACGTTCGATGTGTTGCTCCACAAGGCAGTGGGTCAGAACAGGTATTATTTGCTTCCCTGGGATGCTAAACCGGAGTAGCCCAGCCAAGTGAGCAGTATTTTATTTAGGGATACTACGGTGCCAAGATTGTATCCTCCTTTTGAGGTACAGTATTTCATATAAGGAGTATAAATATTTTGGGCTCAACCAGGTTGAGCGCATCACGACTCCTGCACTTTACAAAGAGTAGTAACACCTTGTCACAGGTGGACGGCGCCAAGTTCTACACAGACGGGAGCCGCTGGCCTGGGAGGTGGGTATGTAAATTCTTGCGGTTGCACCACCGGCTTACCCAGGAAAAGAAGAAGTGAAAAAAGCTGTGGAAGACAAGCTGACCGAAGAGATGTCAGACAAGGTGCGGGTTCAGCACACAAGAAGCCTGCTCGCATCTGCTCGCTAATACGCCGATACCATTATGGTAAAGCTGTCCAGCACTTGATGTCCTTGTTCTGGGGAGAAGTTGGTCTCATCAGGAGAAGGCAAACATCTCCTTCCATTGCACCAGCATCTACGACCATACCGTCTTCGAGGCCAGGCAGACTGAAGCGTGGGCATTTTTAACACAATCTCTCGAGGCATTCAGCCAAGTTGTGCAGAAGCTGATACCCGAGCGACCAACTTTGGAGACCTGCCGGCGTGGTTTGATTTCAACTGCCCTGTGTGGGTGGCAGGGCAGTGGTGTACGCTGATAGCGACCCAAGTTGGAATGAACAGACAGCATATGTCCACATGCCAGTCCTGTGAAAATGGCCTGCCAGGAAATGCTTGGAAGCCGTGAGCCAAAACACGCGGATGGACGGGGAGTTGCGTGCAAGCTTTGAAAGTTCATCGCCAAACATGTTTACGCCTCGGCCTGGCTTGCATGACAGGTCGGCTGCGCAAGGCCCAACCCTAAAAACCATTCGCATGGTGCTTCCATATGTTCAGTGCTTGGGGTGTAGTGTGAGCCTGTGGCGAGGCGTCCGCAGGGCCCCGAGACTGTTGATTCTTACGAGAGCTTTAGTGGGGGAGGATAGGGATCAGTGCTGCCCGGCCTAACCCCCTTCCCTGCTTCTTCAGCAAATCTCTAAAGCGTAAGAAAAATCCTGCGCAGCGCAGGAGAAAGTCTACCTTTTCGACGTCGTCTCAAAGGCAAGTGGGGAGTCGGGAGAATCAGCATTCAGATATAGGCATACTCAGAAATGCTCGTAGCTCGCCCAAATCGCGCAGCTCTACCTGGCCGCCGACAAGACCAACTCGGAGCTTTCCTGGTACGAGCTTTGCGCAGAACTCAGTCGTGTACAAGTCCATCGTAGTCCATCATGCCGATTGAAGTTTGCATCGTATGCTTCGTCAGTCAAGCATGATCAGTAGAACTTGTCATGTTGACCAGTTTAGGCGGAAGCGCGGAGAGCTCTCAAACCAGCTCGCCTCGGCTGTGCTGTGACATTGCGAGGTGCTGACATGGTGGACGTGGTGATTGACATAGCCTGCATTTACGGCAACGGCCGCAAGCTCAAAAGTGAGAGTAGTGACCCCAACGAAGCGTTTCAGCTTTTCTGCTCATTTCTCTAGCCTTGAGATCCCAACGCTGACATGGCGCACGCAGCTGGGTCAAAAAATGCGTAGGGTCCAATAGAGCCTGCTATTTACATGGCATCATTTGCAACTCCCAACAACAACTGACTCGGGCACCCTGCAAACTTGCTTACTTGTTTTGCGAGTGGGTGGCTAAAGAGGATCTTGTCCTGGAAGCGCATGGTACCTGCCCTCATGATATCAGAAGCTCTCAGGTAACATTACAGTGCAACAGAACGATCCTCGTGGTCATTGATGTGCACAAGTCCAGCGCGCCGTTGCCCACTGGTCGAACAGACGGCTGGGGCACAGCTATGGAATTCGTTCTAGGAATTGCCTCATGGCGTTCGCTGTGATCTGCGGTTGGCGATGGCAGTGGCTGTGGCTGCTGCTGGCATTGCAGCAACTGCCCGCGCAGCATCCACCTGTGCATGTTCTGCAGCAGCAAGATGCACACCGTGACTGGGAGCCAGCTCAACAGATCCCAACCCGTCGCCCGCATGCTTCTCATTTGCTGCCGCCCCGTCTGCAGCACCAGTTGGGGCAGCAGAACCTGGACCTGCAACGCACTATCTCTGTCGGCCCAATGCTTGGCCCAGTGGAGCGAAAGCGCCAAGAGCAGCAGCTTCTGAAGCAACAGCAGGAGCAGAAGGACATGGGCACGAAAGAGTCTAAGAGTGCTCTTACTGTCCGATGTTTTGCGCCCCCAGATATCAAAATCCTGACATCTGCCTTGTTTGACGTTGCACTGGTTTACTTCAACGTTCTAACAACATGCTTTGCAGGACCAGCTGCGGGAGTTGCGCAGTGTGCTGCCAGAGCGCGGAAAGGCACCCCTTGCACCCTTGGCACGGGTTCACGGCCTCTCCTCACAGGGGCGCTTCACTGAAGCCAAAGCTGCTTTAGCCGGAGCATGGAAGCAGTATGGCGGGAGCATCGGCACAGCCGTGCTGCGCCAGGAAGTGGAAGACTTGCGCTGGCGCATGGGGCTTCCGCCACTCTCCGAGTGCTCCATGGATCCTGAGGATTGGCTCGTGGGCGCACAAGATGCAGGCTGTTTGGGCCACGCTTGTGAGAGCCTGCAAGACTCAAACAAGTGGGACGTGAAGACTCTGCTTGTCTCCTTGGCTATAGCTTCCATTCTGGGTGCTGTGCTTCTGATGTATACTTGGGCGCGTGCAGATGGGCAGCAGTGTGAAGAACCAGCGCCAGACTGGCCCCAAGGAAGCCCGGCAGCGAGAAGTGATGGCTTATGGACACTGCAGCCGCAGTGGCAAGAGCCCTTGGAGGGGGACAACTCCAGCTCTGCAGGTTCTGCAAGCTCCGGGAGACGAAGCCAGCGCAGCCAAGAGGACGCGGCAAACGCGTTCGAGACGGTTGAGACTGGCCTTGACAGCTTTCTGGGTGAGGAGTTCGAGCCTCTTGCGCTGACAGAGCACCCGGCCACCCCAGAGGCCAGTCCTCCTCAACATCCTCAGAATACAGCTGTTGGTGTTCTGATGGCACCTATGCAGCTTCCCCTGCCTGCTGCAAGCACACCAACCTTGCAGCTCCAGCCACCAGCTTCGACGACTGGAGCGGTGCCACTTCCTTTGAACCATTTGCTGTCGCTGCCTGACTCCACCGCCTCAAGGTCCTCTCCCCAGAGCGCGGAGTACCTGGACCTTGACGCATCGCTTACAAGGTCTTTTCCTGCAACTCCAGAGTGGTCCGATTGGTCGAATGTTTGGTTTGCAGGACCGGAGGGGCCCCGACGAGCGTTTACCGAGTCACAGCTTATCCCCGGTATGGCGAACTATCCCGTCCATACAGGCTGGCGGCATCCGCACCAGCCCGTCGAGGACAGGCTAAGAAGTAGCGTAGAGGTCCTAGGGCCGCTTGTGCTCAATCCTTTTGTGGGTTTTGTTTGCTTGTATGCTCTGTTGTGGAACCAGTGCTGCATGAGCAGGAATTGCGCGAGCGGCCGGAGATGGAGAGTGAGTTGCATCATGGGGTCCTCAGCTCAGTGCAACAGCTCCTGGAGGAGGAAGCCCCTGAATGGGCTGGGCCGGAAGACGTACCGGTTGTACAGAGCTCTCAGTGGGGCTTCTCCTGTCCAGGGCGTTGGGCCGACGAACTTCTTACAGAAGAGGACGCCCATGAACCTTGGTCTGGCGAGCTTCATCAATCCAGCTGGTTCGAGCCGCAGAGAAGCAATTCAATTGGGCATGCACCCGACATGCCTGCAGTGGACGAGTCCAAGCGGCGGTCCCGCAAAAAGTCCAAGAGGCGCAAGAATGCAGAGCGTGGCCAGTCCACCATACGAGTTCTTCAGCTAGAGCAGCTGCTAATGCTCGACGAGCGGCTCCCCAGCTTCAGTCAGCTCCCAGCTCCAGTGGGCAAGCAGGCAAAGCCGCGAGCCATCTCACAGCCCCCACTCTACGCAAAAGCCAAGGCATCAGCCCCTTGGCGACCGCGCAAGGCAGACCCAAAGGCAAAGGCCGGGTCCCAGCCCGAGACGAAGCCTCCAAAGCGACGCCCCTACCAATCCTTCTACCAGATGCCTGAGGCCTTGCGAGCCCGGACCAATTCTGGCAAAGACAGTACAGATGCATGGCGAATCCGGGAAGATGACCAATGGCGCGTTCGGTCACCTGATAATCTGACCAATCCGGAAGCTGTGCTGCCCAAGGGCCAGTTTGCAGCGCCAGAGCACGTGGGCGAGGAGCAAGAAGGTCGACGCGTGGGTGGTCATGCGGGTGCAAAACCCAGCACGGTGCCTCAGGGAAGCACGTTTCGCTCGCAGCCACGAAACTCTGAGGCTCGCCTATCGGAGAACCGGAGGCGTCCCCGTTCCAGGCCAAAGACGCCGAAGCCGAGTGTCCTGCCGCAGCGGAGCGGCCGAGCTTGGCGTGCTGGGCGCAAGCCCTCCAACTCAGACCCTCAAGGCCCTTTGGGCCCAGGCCGAGCCGAGGCTGAGGAAAAAAGAGGGCGACCGCCTTGACGAAGAGAGGGCTTGGCATGGCTTGGCATGGCTTGGCGGCTGCAAGAGCTGTTTGTTCACTCTTAGCGCTAGGCTTGGAGGACAACAAAGATGCCGGGTGCGAGTTCCAGCTGCACAACAATGCCGTCCTTGTTCTCAAGGAGGTAGGAACGGGGTCTGATGGGCATTGCATTCAAGGTTTCCAATGTTGACTGGCAATGCAAGCACAGCCCGCCTGCCTCATTCGTTGTAGTTGGTGACTGCCATCGCGATAGATGAGAAAGCAGTCCATGGTTCCCAAATTGTTGGATTTAAAGCGGCCTTTGGAGGTGTGTAAGGGGAGCCCTGCTTTGACGAACAGGTTGAGGAGGTTCAGGTCACCTCTGAGGCTTGAGCAAGCACTCGCATCACCAAGGTCGGTCATTGCTTGGCGCTGGTTTGCGTGTTCAAAGGACGAATCAACGGTTGAGAGGGGTTACCTCGGCAGAAATTCTGAGCTGTACACAAGGTTGTTTTGTCCTGAAACTACTTGTTTGTAGCAGTTTCGGTATACGCGAACCAGCTACGCGGAGTTGGAACAGAGCTCTTTAAGGTGCTATGGGAGACTCATGAAGTCTTGCTTGCGATGGTGAAGGAGATGATGCTTGCTTTGATCGACAAGAGCTCCTGGAACACAATGTGGCTGTCTTCAAAGAGGACAGCAGATTCTCACTGCACTCTGCTTTTGCTGCAAATGCATATCTTGATTCGTGTCCAACCTTGGCAGCACCTGATGCCAGTCCCCTTGCGCCAGGCGTTGAACAAGGTGTGTCCTGTGAATCTTCCAAAGCCGCAACTTCAGTCATCCTGATTGCGCAATTGGCTGACGACGAGTGCATCAGTGTGACTTTATTGGGTCAATGAGGCTTGGTACAGCGCGAAGACGAAAGAACCCCCGCTACGGCAAATGTCTTTATAACCCTGAGCTTGTTTAATTGCAGTCCCCAACAGCACAGCTAGCACCTCAGCTTTGCATTGCTTGCCAAGGCGGGGTTGGCGCTGATCCTTTCGCTGGGCAGGCGTAAAGAAGTCCTCTTCATTTTTTGCCGCAAGCGCTTCAGGAAAGCAGATGAGATCGATACATGTCGCTACACCTGCCTGCAAAAAACGTGGCTGTCGACTTCTGGAGTGCATGTACTCTTGGTGCAGTGCATGACCATCAGGTTCGTAGGAAGATGCTTCAGGATGGCATCTTAAAGATCTTGGAACTTTTTGTACACGCCTGGCGCAGGTGAAGAATGTGTGCGAGTTCCAGATGAGCTCCGTAGCATGTGATAGGTGGTGCACACCTCAAAGGCCGCACATGATTACGGCGAGTGGTCTGCAGGCAGCTGAGACAGTCGTGGCTGCCTAATCACAACTCTAAAACACTGGTGGCTCAGGCCAATGAACCAACTAAATTGCATTATGCTACAAACGCAATCCTGAGGTGGAGTTGTGAAACTGCTGTCTCCACAAGTTGGACTGCCGACGCAGATGAAAAGGGAAGACTGGCGTTGTGTTCCAGCATGAAGAATCAGCTAAGAACATGGCGAGAGGTTTGCACAAATCCAAGCCCCCAATGCCGCTTCAGGTGGCCCATGGTGGCTCACGCATTTTGCTTGCATGCCACGTCGCAGGACTTGGCACCTGGGAGCCTCCAGTGAGGGTGCGCTGTGCCTTTACGGCGCTGCAGTCAGCCAAGCCCCTACAGAGAGCCTGCCCGGCAGCCAGAGGAACAGCGGTTGCAAGGCAAACTCTGCAGCATGAGAAAAGCATTCTGAAAATGCCTCAGAAGTCCCTGAGGTCACCAGCCTGTGCCGCTTCCCAGAGCTGGAAGCCGCCATGGCAGAGAGCATCGAGGTCCGTTTTGCAATGGGCGGATGTGACATTCCTCCATGGGTGCAGTGACACTCCTATTTGCTGACTTGATGCCATGCTGATATGTGGCTCCAAAATGCTTGAGAGAGATGCTTCCAGTTAAAGCAATCTATACAGACCTGGTGTGTGCCTGGTATGTGGCGAACAGACCTCCTCTGAGCAGATGAAATCATCACAGCCAGAATTCGAAGCAGGAAGATTCGTGAGCAGATTGAAATGCAGGGCATCCTCTTAGCTTGTAGGCAGTGCACCAAACGAGCAGGTTGTGCAAGTGTATGCCGCCCAAAACCACCATGAGTAAACTTCGTAAGTAATGCATGAAGCAGCTGTGCAGGGCCTACTCAGACCAGCGTGTCTTCTGGTCCAGAGCCTGCACCCAGCCTACGAGCAGGCATAGACATTGCTGCCTGCAGTTGCACGCAAGAACTGCGATCCGCGAGATGGACAGGCGGTGGTCTTAGCAGATGACAACGGCCAGAGCGAAGAAGAGGCGCAATCCTAGTTGCAACCGACTCTCTCCAACGAACTCATCTGCTGAGCCGTGGCAAGTGCCAAGACTTGTCTTAAGGGCGGTGTGGCCCCTTTTGTCGCCCAGACCATGGAGCTTATCCAGGCCTTTGCACTGCTGTCCGGCAGTTTGGAGTCCTTTTGAAGGTTCACCTGTCGGGAGGCGATGGCAGTGCGGGCCAAGCTGAAGCCTCTCCTCAAAAATCGGGTGAAGAGTTTGCTTCAGGCTCCACGGCTCCACAGGTTGAGCAGCCACTGACATTCACTGCAGCCTTCCATTTGTGCAAATGAGCTTTTCCAAAACTGAAATGCCTTGACGCCCAGCTCCTGGTCCCTTTCATGCGGATCACTGAGAACCAAGCGCTAGCCTTAGTGCTCTCTGCACTGTTGTTGAAAGGTCTGAGCATCCACGGGAGCATCTTCAAGCAAGTACAGACAACACGAGCATCAGACAGCAACCTCCTCTTAGCTGAATTCGCGCAATAACTTGACGGTACCAATGCTCACCCATGTTCACATGCAAGTGTCAAGCACCTGAATATAGCTCGAAAACGCCAGGCATCCACCTGGAGAGCCGACCCCAATGAGTTCCTAGTCCAGGAGCCTTGCCTTGCTTGTAGAACAGCTGCCACCTGTAGGGAAAAGATGCAGCTTTTGAGAGCGATCTTTCAACAGTGGAGGGTGACGCATGGCAGGAGGAGGATGAGCATTGTAGGCACGACGCAGCATGCTCAATGCTGGAAGCTTTGTGACGGCCCGATAGCTGTGTTCATGCAAAGTCTAAAAACACATTCGAAGCCAACAGCTCTGTCAAGATTCAACGAGTAAGGGCACCGTCTATCACGCCCCCTCAGTGCTATTTTCTGGGTAGAACGAGACATGTCATCCGGCAGGGGGTGCACCATCCGACTTTCGGGTGAGGGGCTGGTGTGCCAGATGCTGGAAACCTTCAAGCCTGGATCCCCGGTGTCGATTTCCTTACAACATTACGGCGCATCTTGCAATACCGGGGACGCTCATGTTATGAAGCGAGATGTGAAATTCTTTCGCTGTTACCGCTGCCAGAGGTGCAAAGCTTTTTCAGTTGCGCAAAGTACATGTTGAGTACTCAACCGTGGAGCTAGCAGAGGCGCGAAAGCTCGCGTTCTGTGGCGGCGCTCGCCACAGAATTGCTCGGAGCTGAGACGTCATGCAGGGTACTGTATGGCTGCCCGCATGCCATGGGATGCATTCGCGTCAAAGCCGCAACTGCAGCTTTGCCCTTGGCTGCTTCTCGACAGCAGGTTTACATTACCTTTAGCATAAGCCCTGGAAATGTCATGTCTTGATGCTTGATTGGTGGAGAGATTTGCAAACTATCAGAAAGGCAACAACGAGCAAGGCTGTGACTAGAAGAACTTGTGTTAGGTTGGAGCGCGGCGAAAGCGGGCGCGGCTCAGGCTGCTCAAGTGTCGGTCAGAACAGTACTGGACTGCATCATAGGATTAGCTTCTTGCGTGCTCTGATGTGCATTGCATGCTTGTGCTTGGGAGGTGATGCTGCGGCTTGGAAGCTGACGGAGGTTGGACCATGACGTCAGCATCACAAATTTGTGTTGCAGTTGTTTGTTTTTTCGTTGGAGGTCGGCTTGTTCATATTCAGCATCGCGGTGGGTGAGGCCATGCCTGAGCCCGTTGAGTGCCGGAATGCCAGAACTTGGTATATGCTTCACAGGATTTTACGGGTGTGCTGCGAGATGTCAATGCAGGCTTGCTGAGCACAGGCTGTTGCGGGCGTCATGCCTATCGATTCACCTTGCACCTCGCAAATCCTCGCAAAGAGGCTAAACCCTGAGCCACGCAGAGAATATGCATACGTTGCAGTCATGCCAACTCAAAACAGTAGCCAACCGATATGCTGGAGTTAGGTCTGCTCTGCAGTAGGTTCCCTCATCCGCTGCACTGGCATGTGCCCAATGCCGATTCTTTTGCTTAATCGTAGTATGTCTCAGACTTGTGGGTCTGACCTGTGGGGTCGTACAAGATGCCTTATATACTTTGGGGTATGCAGACGGGATCATCAGTTTGAGAAATACCCAGCCCTCCTAACACTTTGAAAGGCAACTGTGAAGTCGCTTCAGCGCAGCGAGCTTGGCCCTATGGCTGCCTTGGCATGGCTTTGGGGCCAGGGAGAGCATTACAGTTGTTCGGGGCACGGGGATTGCAAGGGGATTGCGGGGATCGCCGCGTTAGGAAGACCTAGAGTCCTTCCTTAGAGCTTCCGAGGATACCTTCTTATCGTGATACACGCTAGCCGCTAGTTCTTCAAATTTATGTGTTGCTCAAATTGTGGTTAGACGTTGCGGAGGGCACGCGCAAGGATCGCAAATGGTGATGCCTACTGAAAAACTGAAAGAAGTCTTCAAGGCTCAAAGCAACAATTGTCAGGTTGTCACGCATGACAAGTTTGGATTGCTGTGCCCGCCTGCCAGGTTCCAAACACGCTGGCCCTGGCTGCGCGGCTGTGTGCTGATCGGAGTTCTCCTGAGGCGACAGGTGAGTGTCAACGTGGGGCCACTGCAGGATATCATGCATGTGTCACTATAGGCCTGGGCACAGAGCAACAGCCAGCAACACTTTTCGTGCCTGCCATTGGTTTTCGGAAGGGGCACCTTTGCTGCGTGCCCATGTGAGGAGATGTAGCTGAAAGAGTGGAGGTCACATCGTGTTCTCATCACGGCATGCCCTGGGTCATGATTTAGGGACCAGCTCCCGCAGCTGAAGCGCAAGCATTTGAGCTGAACTTGCATTCCAAGTGGATGGTGTCCGTCCTTCTGCTTGCACGTGAGAGTTAATTTTTGTCCCCAAAGCATTCACTACACGCCTGCGGCAGTTTCTGCGCGCTCGGGCATTCTCACTGTTGCATCGCTTGGGAGACACAGTGTCTCAACTGGTGTGAGCCTCAGCTCCGTTCAGCCTCGTGAACGTTGGAAGGTGAGCTTGTGTGAGTTCACTGGGTTCGTGCATCTTCGAGTTAAGAGGACAATGCAACTTATTCAGTTGAAATCAAATATGCCAGCCCGGATCATGTAGCAGCATTCGAATGCACAATGAGTTGCCCTAAGTCGATCGCGTAAAGGAGTCAAGAAGAGGCTGTAGCTTTAACCGGAGGTGGGTCCAGCAGATGCCCAGGAACGAATTCCTGCTTCCAGGTCATGGTTTTTAGACAGTAGGAAAAACCATGTAGCAAATCAGTGAACAGGCATGAGGCTGGGAATTGATTCCTCGTATATACATATGCCTCCTGGCACAGTGGTCATTGATCGACGACCCCATGAACAGGAGCTAAAAAACTGTCAAGCAGTCTTGTGTGTAGTCCATCTTCTTTGAAGTACCAACGCCATGGACCAGTATCAAAGAACCTCCAGTACCCCTACATCCCCTACATTACCCCCAGTCCTCACAATTGAATCCCTAAGTGACCCGAAACTTTTGGCCCGAAACCCTAACCCCTGGTCCCTACAAAACATGTCACCTTCATTTACCACCCCAATATATACCCTATAATCCCTATATAACCCCTGTATATTCCATACAATTTCTACAGTTTCCATTTTCTTTTCTATTGTCCCTAAAACACCCCAAAATACCCCCCACCCCTCATTTGTCTCCGAACCTCGCTGCGCCGGCTCACAGCTGGGCGGGGCGTCAGGGCCGTCAAAGACGGTGGGGAGCCCGTTTGGGTCTGGAATAATTGTATAGATAGTGGAAATTAAAAGTATTGTTGTATAATAGCAATGATAATTGTATGATTAATAGTAATAGTAATATCAATACTAATCATAGTTTTAGATTTAGGGTTTAGGTCCCCGGATGGTTATGGGGAGAGTGAAAACTCAAGTTGTCCTTGTACAATCACTGAGGGGAATCCCGCTAATCCTCTTCAAAGCTCTAGGCATGTTTTGACGTTCCTGGAGTATCTAATCTTGAAAAGAAACCTCCACATTGCGCTTCATGGGTGTTTTACAGGGTTAAACAGTACTTGTCTGGGAATTTAAGAAGGGCTCCCAGCAAAAAGAGGTCTTGCACAAGAGTTTTTGCAATCATTGCTCTGCGGGATTCGTCTGAGCAATGTACTTTGCAACTATATAAGATGACATATGTGCAAGAGGATGTATTTTGTCTTTAGCAATGGGTCCACAAGTTTGATTGTCTTGGTTGCAAAGGGGATGAGGTTCGAATACTCCAGTTTCAGGATGTGTTCGTCGGTCTGTGTTCGTCGCATTTATTCGGGTTCGAAAGGTGCGTTCTATGCAATGTGCACAGCATCCGGGCCATGCGGGCTTTGTTTGCAAGCATTTGGCTCTTCACCTCATTTCACCTTCTCCAGCTCAAGCGGCAAAACATACCTCAACTAGAGAACCTATAACGCGAAGATACAGTCTCGACGCTGTAGAGGCATCACAAGCTTTGACATGCCATAGCGATGCACTCTATGATCGCAGAGCGTTCAGATGTGCCATAGGGCATCACAGATCTCATCCAATGAATGTCTCGAAAGTTGCTCTAACGGAGTCTAGCCCCCAAATGCCATCGGGGCAGTGCAGCATCAGCATGTGTGCACTTAGATTTGCACGCAACAGCCATCCGGCGCATTTGCGCGCCAGCTTGTGGCCTGCCGCTGCCGCGTATGTATTCCTCAGTGTTCACGCCCCCCGGCGACAGCAGTTACGAAGCTTCACCCGCCAGCATGAGTAGTCTGCGAGTCAGTTTGTTAAGACAGCTGCTAATTTCCTTCCCAGGCTTGGGTCAGCCCGTTGTGGCCAAAGCAGCTCAAGCCCCGGGCATCTAAACTGCAGCAGGTTTGCCTGCCTCCGTGCTTCTGCGTTAAAAGTGATGAATGCTGCAGCCTGTGCATTTTTTCTCTGCATCAACCTAGGCATGCTCAGCGAGAGCTGCCGCGGACGATCAGCGCCTCGCTAAGAACGTTTCGCGAAAACCCTTCCATTCTCCATGAGTCATAACTCAGGCAGGACTCGCAATGGGATGCGCTGCAACAGTCGGAGGCTCTCTTCGGTGAAGCTGGCAGCAGCTGGCGGCTTGAGGAGGCCAAGGGAGGGAAGCGGAAACTCTTACATCTGCATCCTCTTGGGAGTTGCTAGGGCGTGTGCTCACAACTCTAGCCCCAGTGGTGCAGAGGTCATTCCATCAGAGCGGGGGGAAGATACGTTTGCAAGATCGGTACACAGTGCCAAACAAGAATTGGGTGCCAGGCACTCGTGCAGACCAATCATTGGCAAATAAGAGCAGTTGAGAGTGGAAGAGACTGTGAGCAGACTGAGGGTTCCCTCACATTGTGAGCGCGACGAGCCAGTGTCTGGCTCAAAGATACTGTGCTCTAACCATTTGATCTTTCTGATCTTGGGTCCGGGCAAACAAGGGCTGCTCTACGTTTCGAGGTGTCTCATGGCCAAAGCTGACAACGATTTTCAAAACCTCCGATCACGCCAAATTCGTGTTTGATTAGTAGTGCTTGCAAAGGCCCGGCATGGCCGTCACCAACCAAAGGGCGGCGACAAAAAGCAGCCTATGTCGTTAACGGGTAATTGGACCACAATCAAATCCTTCGTCCTTGCATACAGAAGGGCATTGCTTGGCTGCCCTGCCCCCCGCCTAAACCGTTTTCCTTGCAGAGCTGCAAAGCACTGCAAAAACATTGCACTTTGGCACTGCAAAGGCAAGTGCTGTGAGGTTCGGCATTGCAATGGCCAGGCAACACAAGGACACTTTGCCACCGAGCGCTGCAAAGATACTGTGGGTTTGAGCACTGCAAGGACACGTTGCCCTGAACACTGCCAAGATACTTTGGGTTTGGGCACTGCAGGGATGCGTTGCAATGGACACTACAGGGATACTCTGCTGTTGGGCGCTTGGGCACTGCAGGGATCCTTGGTGGTTGGGCACTGCAAGGATACTCTGGATACTCTGCGGTTGGGCACTGCAGGAATGCGTTGCCATTGAGAACTGCAGACAGGCTCTGGGCGGAGGGCGAGGACAACCTGGACCTAGACTTTAAAATCGTACAACCCCTCTGTGAGGGTGGGAAAAAGAGGAATACGGGCGCTGACAATGCAAAGACCTGACACGAATCATGAATCGGCTGCAGTGCTCAGCAGCTTGCACCAATGTCACTTGCTTTTTTTCCTGACCCCATGGTGTAAGGCAGGGCGACTGCTCAACCAGAATGCACTGGAGACTTTGCAGACTTGGTTCCGCCCAGCTGGAGGGGGGCTGGACAGCGAGACTTCAGATGGTGTGGATGACGCTTTGGCTGCCCTGCTAGAGCAAGAAGTGCCGTATGTCGTCGAGTTTCTGTCCGACAAGCAGTTCCCTGGGCCAGTCTGCCGTGCATTTTGGCAATCTGAGCTGTACCTACGCGATTTTCAGCAGACCGCCGGGCAGGCGCCGTTGGAAGAATTTGCGGAGACAGCAAAACATGTCACTGCACCTATGGAAGAAATGATCCAAGAGGGGGCTCAAGACAGTGCAGGGATGCAGGCACTGGATCGTTTTGTTACACGCCAGCAATTTGCAGCCTCCGTGCGTTTCGGCTACTTCCTGCGTCGAGCAAAGCAGCGGCTCCGGCTGGAGTCTATCATGTGACCAGGCAGCAAGGCAGCAATACTTGGTTTTGGAGGGATTGCTCATCGACCTAAGACCCAGAACATGGAACCCGGTCATGTGATAGTTTGCTTGTTTCTCATTACCCCGCGCGACCTCACCTTCGAGAATTGCAGCAGCAAAATCCATACTAGGACAGGACCCGTCGGCACCCTGGAGATCTATATTGCAGAAATGACGTCGCAACAGCAGGCCCGGTTGCAAGCTTTGTTCATCCTGTTGGAACTCTGTGGATAATGCATTCCTTCAATGAGAGATTATGGCTGGCTGTGTGGTTACATACTGTATACTCTGCTGCAGGTAGAGCTGGTGCGAGCTGCGAGCCGAGAAGCTTCCGCAGCCATTGATGCAGCTTGGCTCGGAGTCTGACGATTTTGACATGTACACTGCTGTTTTTGTTTGATGGCTTTGGCAGCGGAGTGGTATTATGCCTTAGCAGGAGTTGTGTTATTATTGTTGGTTATGTCTTTCCTTCAACCTTGTTGCTAGAAATCCCAAAACACACCAAAACAAGTGAGTGGAATCAACGGCTGCGCAGCAGCATTTGTATCGAAGACGGATGAGCTTGCAGTTTGGGTTGCCAGCTCATGTGGGCTTCAGGCCCGCGCCACCGCGCTCTTTGGCACGGCCTCCGAGCTGCTCCGCGGGGTCGCGTCCGGCGAAGCCGCGCCGCTGGGCCTTTCCCCAGAGGGCCGTGCGAGGCACAACCAGAGATAAAGATTGAGAACATTTGAAAGCGGGTTTTTTTGGAGGGAGCAAAGAATGCTGCTCCGCAGGTTGGCGGTCGAAGCTGTGGCATTTGGGGCAGCATTATTTGATGCTGAGGACAGCATTTCTGTGAGTGGAGGCCTACAGAGTGAGGCATGTGGTGCTGGTCATGCCAGGAAGCCGCCGCGCAGCGCTACACGCTCACTTACTCTGAGTTTGGAAGCAAGAGCTGAAAAAAAAAATTGCTCTACACCACGCTCTTCTGGCTTTGCCTTGCTCTAGCACAACACAAAAAATGCGTTTGTGTTGAGCAGAAAGATATCCCAGCGATTTCTTTTTTCCTCCCAGGCCGGGACGCTGCGCAGCGCATGCGTTGCCCTGCCGAGCTCCCATCCTCCAGCAGTAGCAGCATTAACATGTTCAGATAATGAAGAGACCAAGCTACTTGCATGAAGCGACTTAAGCCGTTGATCGCATTCCCGTATCAGCTTTCGGAGGCACGCGTTTTGTCTATGCTGTGTCTTCATTATGTCCAGCCCTCAGCACATCGGACAGTTCCCTGAT